ATGTAAAAATGTCATCAAAATTTAATGCACAAAAATGGAGAAAATCTGCAAAATTGAATTGAGCTAATTCTAGTTTATCTTACGAATAGAGAATTAAAGTGATTAAGGACTCAAAAAAACATTGTGGACATTTTGAGAATAATATGCACTGTGCAACTGTTTTTTAGGATTTATGGATATCTTTTGATTGGTCAAATCTTTCATAACATTTTAATTTTTCTACTTTTTTAACTTTGATGGAAATAAAGTTTGACAGATTTTTTGTCGGGCTACGTTTCAAAAAATAAAAATTTATTTCAATTATTGTAAATTTGCTTGTCTGTCTGTTAGGATGTTTGTATCTAATAAAAGTCAAAACGGCTGAACCAATCAGTCCCAAATTTTCGTTGGGACCTCACGTGAGTCCAGGGAAGGTTTAAAAAATTTGCCTTTAACAAAATTCGATTTTTGAAAATTTAGAAAATCAACGAAATTTTTTTTGAAAATCTGCGAAATCTTTTGTTTTTTGTTTTACAATGTGTACAAAGAGAAAATGCTTTAAAGAAGACTAAACTAATTACACCTTATCTCTGACTCACCCTCCATTATCCATATGGTTTGCCAAAAAATAGAAAGTTTAAACAACAGAGTTCAAAACATAGAGTCATATGGTCAAGAGTTATATAAAATAACAATTTATAAATATATGCTTTCAGGGCGCTTTGCAATCCTCAAGCTTTTAATAATTTCATCTTTTTAAAGTTATTTTAACTGCAGCTTTATATTATCAATGTGTAATGAGTACTTGTATTAAAACAGCAATTTAATATTTATATTTTCTTTGCATCAATAATCTAAATCTAAATTTTTGGGATGCAAGCTAATCTAAAGTATTTCAAAATACTACAATTTCACGGATTTTTAACTATGTAGCAAAAATAAATTATGAATTTTGTCTTGTACATTTTAATATTTTTCAACCAAAAACATAGACCCTGCAGAAAAACGTAGTCTTGTAAAAATTAACGCTAGTTCTGTTTTTTCTTTACTTACCCTGTACATTGTACAATGTACATATCAGCTAAGTTTCTCTTGGGATCAGTGCAGGAAAAAAAATAATTTTTAATAGTTTGTTTGATACTGTAATAAATATCGTCGTAAATCCTAAATCTGAAAACCTGAAAATATGTTGTACATTATTAATAACCTATCTTATACGTAATCTATTTATTAATTACATTTGTAAATAACTACGTCAAACCTGTATCACGATGTAAGGAGATGAACTGAGTATGCAGTGTTGTGGACAAATTCTTTAGGATTCATTTGAGACATATAAAACCTTTTAAAGAACTGTAAATCCTGAGTTTGAGTGCAAAGTAGACGTTCAAAACCGTACTTTTGGGAAGATACATTTTCAGAATTGTTCTGTAAAATTATTAAATAACGACGACAAAAAATGTTAACAAAATTCTACAGTAAACTAATTAGTAGTTTAGGGACAGGTTGAGAAATTAAAAATTAATCTTATCATCGAAAATAAGTAATCCTATTCAATTATTGGTTTCTATGATCTCTCATTATTCGCAAAGATTTTCTGCAGATTTTTTGGAATTTTTATTGAAAAGACGACATTTGTAGAACTTGTAGAAATCTGCAAATAAATTCATTGAAAATAAGAAATTCAATATAATGATGAAAACGAAATAGTTAATTGATTTATTGTCAAATTTCTTTTAAGAAATATGTTCCTAACCATCCAATTAGTTTACTGTAAAATTTTTACTTTATTTTTTGTTGACGTTAATTGTGATTAAAAAAAACGATTCCGAAAACGTACCCACCCAAAGTCATGATTTTGAACGTCGACTATGCACTCAAGCTCAGTACTTATAAATCGTGGAAATGTTTTATATGTCTCAAATGAATCCTAAAAAATTTGTCCATAACACTGCATTCTCAGTCTAACTATCTTGTATAGCCGGTCTGTCCCTTTAACTACGTGATTGTAAATAATCACAGAAAACCTGTACGTATCCCTAAAAAGCTAACTACGTTTGAAAAACTTGTAATTACGTTGATTAACCTAACCTGTATCATAGAACCCAAAATATACATTAGTTGGAATAATACTCTGCTTGATAACGGTATTAGAGTAATCCATCCTCGTGTAGTGAACGAGATGGAATTAAGTGTATATTGAGTTGTGTCTTGTAAGATAGATAACTAAGATTATTTAGTGACCTGGAGTTCACTATTGAGTTGTATCTTGTAAGATAGATAACTAAGATTATTTAGCAACCTGGAGTTTGCTATTGAATTGTATCTTGTAAGATAGATAACTAAGACTATTGAGTGACCTGGAGTTCACTATTGAGTTGTATCTTGTAAGAAAGATAACTAAGATTATTGAGCATCCTGGATTTCACTTTTGAGTTCTATCTTGTAAGATAGATAACTAAGATTATTGAGCGACCTGGAGTTCACTATTGAGTTATATCTTGTAAGATAGATAACTAAGATTATTGAGTGACCTGGAGTTTGCTATTGAGTTATATCTTGTAAGATAGATAACTAAGATTGTTTAGCGATATGGAGTTGGCTATTGAGTTGTATCTTGTAAGATAGATAATTAAGATTGTTGAGCGTCCTGGAGTTCACTATTGAGTTGTATCTTGTAAGATAGATAATTAAGATTATTGAGTGACCTGGAGTTTGCTATTGAGTTATATCTTGTAAGATATAGATAACTAAGATTTTTTAGCGATATGGAGTTGGCTATTGAGTTGTATCTTGTAGGACAGATACCTAAGATTGTTGAGATGTATATTGTAAGATTAATAACTAAGATTATTTAGCAATATGGAGTTCACTATTGAGTTGTATCTTGTAAGATAGATACCTAAGATCGTTGAGCGACCTGGAGTTCGCTATTGAGTTGTATCTTGTAAGATAGATACCTAAGATTATTGAGTGACCTGGAGTTAGCTTTTGAGTTGTATCTTGTAAGATAGATACCTAAGATTGTTGAGCCACCTGGAGTTCACTATTGAGTTGTATCTTGTAAGACAGATATCTAAGGATATGAAAAGTTATTCCTGGATTGGTACTGAACTAAAATTATTTATTTGAGTAGGGCATTTACTACAATACTATGGAACACTCTGTAACAGGTTGAAAATATAACAATTATTGTCAAATATTTTCATCTTCATGACTCTAGAGATACAAAATATAATCTTTATCACGGTTAATAAACGCTTTTATAGTTAGATAGATATATAGATGGATAGATAGATAAATAGATATATAGATAGATAGATAGATAGATAGATAGATGGTTAAATAGATAGATAGATAGATAGATAGATAGATAGATAGATAGATAGATAGATAGATAGATAGATAGATAGATAGATAGATAGATAGATAGATATAGATTAATAAAAATATATAGATAGGTAGATGGATAGATAGATAATAAAAATATAAAGATAGATAGATGAGATAGATAGATCAATAAAATTATAAAGATAGTTAGATAGATATATAGATCAATAAAAATATATAGATAGGTAGATAGATAGATAGATTAATAAAAATATAAAGATAGGTAGATAGATAGTTATAAGGATTTAAGATGAAAGTGAAATTGTTCAGTGTTGACAATACTTTCACACGTGAAGTGAAAACAAGAAAAGATATATTACAAGCTAGAAAACAAGATAAATATATATAATACTAGGTTTTAAGGAGCTTTGCGCCCCCTTTCTTGTATATAATTTTAGCTTTTAACTGTTGCTCTGAAAGCGGCCATTTTTAATCATTTTCAAATATGGCGGATTTTCTTTTCGAATTGGCGCATTTTCAAGGATCTTTTCTCCTTAACCAGACAACTCCTTAACCAGACAACTCCTTTAGACAACTCCTTAGTCAGACAACTCCTTAACCAGACAACTCCTTAGCCAGACAACTCCATAACCAGACAACTCCTTAATCAGCCAACTCCTTAACTAGACAACTCCTTAACCGGACAACTTCTTAACCAGACAACTCCTTAACCAGACAACTCCTTGACCAGACAACTCCTTGACCAGACAACTCCTTAACCAGACAACTCCTTGACCAGACAACTCCTTGACCAGACAACTCCTTAACCAGACAACTCCTTGACCCGACAACTCTTTGACTAGACAACTCCTTAACCGGACAACTCCTTAACCAGACAACTCCTTAACCAGTCCTTAACCAGACAACTCCTTAACCAGACAACTCCTTGACCAGACAACTCTTTGACCAGACTACTCTTTAACCAGACAACTCCTTAGCCAGACAACTCCTTAACCAGACAACTTCTTAACCAGACAACTCCTTACAACTCATTGAACAGACAACTCTCTAACCAGACAACTTCTTGACCAGACAACTCCTGAACCTGACAACTCCTAAACCTGACAACTCCTGAACCTGAAAACTCCTGAACCTGACTACTCCTCCTGAATCTGACAACTCCTGATCCTGACAACTTCTGAACCTGAAAACTCCTGAACCTGACAACTCCTGAACCTGCCAGATCCTGAACTTGACAACTCCCAACTCCTGAACTTGACAAATCCTGAACCTGCCAGATCCTGAACCTGACAACTCCTGAACCAGACAACTCCTTACAACTCATTGAACAGACAACTCTCTAACCAGACAACTCCTGAACCTGACAACTCCTGAACCTGACAACTCCTGAACCTAACAACTCCTGAACATGACAACTCCTGAACCTGACAACTCCTGAACCTGACAACTCCTGAACCTGACAACTCCTGAACCTGACAACTCCTGAACCTAACAACTCCTGAACATGACAACTCCTGAACCTGACAACTCCTGAACCTGACAATGCCTTAACCAGACAACCCCTGGACCAGACAACCCCTGGACCAGACAATTTCTTAATTAGACAATTTCTAATCAGACAACTCATTAACAGGACAGGTTATTCAAATATGATTCTCAATTTCAGATTATATAAATTAATTAAAATGAATGAGGGAGTTGGTGTACATGAAGTACAAGAACGGCAGTACGGTGGATATGGACATGGTAAGGGACGGGTAGCGGATTTTAAATGAGATACAAAATAAGTTTTCCAAATTTTAAAGCCCCACTTTTATAAAAATGTAAAAGGTAAAATCTTTTATTGGTTACGTACACCCACGAACCCTTATTCTGCACATTAAACATCTTCTAATCTATTCGTGAAATATAAAAAAGATTATTATTTGTCCAAAGTAATTTTTCTTATTGATTAGTCCAAATTTTGTAATTTAAATATTTGTTCTTAATGATTTTTCTTGACTTAAAGAGCTGAATATGTATTTTCAAGTGAGACTCCCATCTCCATTTATGTTGGCATGTCCGATTCACAACGGTACCATTAAAACCTATATCTGAGTAACGTTCAAGAAGATATCTTTTAAGTCTGGCAAAAGATATTCGATGACTATATTTCTGAATGATTTTTTTTTTATTTTTTTTTACGGTCTAAGTCGTATGTTGCAATTTTCTCAATTTGTATAAACGCTAAGTTATTCGGTATGAGACGTTTTTAGCAAGTTTTTCCTTATAGACGCAACAGATAGAAGTAAGATTAGTAGCGATCAAAAGACTATACCCCCTTTCATTTTTCGCGAACACTCCCTTTAAACCAAACATAATTTTCCTTCTCATTTAATTTCTTGGTTGAACTACAGTGAATCCCAAATATATGAATACATAGTAAGAGTTTTTATAATGTCGTATTCTCAATATATTTAAGATCTAATGCAGCCAGAAAATTATGAAATATCAACTATATACGAATGCGTCGAAAATTATCGATGATTATAGGTTGTAGTATCTGAATGATTTGTTTAGAATTAAATTCATTTATCTTACGATCCTAGTCGAATATTGCAACTCTCTCAATTTGTATGGACGCTGCGTTCTTCGATATGAGTAGTTTTTAACAATTTTTCTTAAAGACGCAACAGATAGAAGTAAGATTTGTAGTGATCACGATCGATAATTTTTCGCCGTAAGCCTATACCCCTTTCCATTTTTTACGAAGACTCCCTTTAAGTTTCCTTGAAAATATTTGTGTAGAAAACCTGCTGATAAAGTAAAAATACAGTCTAGGAAAGTAATTAGTGGAACAAAATACCTATGTCCAGACTCCAAAGATCTATACCACCTCTTTTGATAGAAAATAATACATATTTGGCAGTCATTTTATGTATGCAGGGGGAGTCAAAAAAAAAGTGTAATTGTGTCGTCTCATTCAAAACCCTTTTTTCGTATCCCGCCCTCAAACATAGCTAGACAGCTGGGCCTGGACGGACTTCGTTTTTAAAGGGAGTGACTTGACGGACATGGTGTGGAGATGAAAGTGCTCGAATTGGAGAGAAAAAGTTTAGGATTCATTTAATACAAATGAGACACTTTTACTGTGTACAATTTTTAAATAAGAGCGTAAGTCGTTTTTAATATTTTAACCAGGTGGTTCAGTCAGCAGAAGAAACGATTTTTTACAATTTTTAAATAACATGGACTAAACATGCAACAAATACTATTTTACAAACTAGTTGCTTGTATAAAAACAGGTTGAGAAAAATAATGAACTTATATCATTGAAAATAAGTTATAAAAAGTCATTTAAAATCTCGCAAGTTTATGCAAATTCTATTTTAGCTATAGGTTGGAGGTTTTTTAAATTCTAATTGTGAAGACGACATTTTAAAGAAATCTGCGAACAAAATTAAAGAAACAGGAAAAGCAGTAATGATAATGAAATAATCGACTCTACGATAATTTTTTAAAAAGAGATATGTTCCTAAACAGCAAATTAGTCTATATACAAAAAATGTCTCACTGGTATCAAATGAATCATAAAGTTTTTCTGTGCAATACTGCACTTTCAGCCTAACTACCATCTCTAGCATTTCACTCCCTTTAAACATATTTTCAAAATGATGGATTTTCATTTGGAAAATTCGTTTCAGAAACCGTTTTTTAACAAGATATTATCTTTAGCGTACAGGGCAAAACAATTTCGATAAAAAAAACCTGTTGATAGGAAGTGGATACGGGATTGGACCCCTGGAGGAATGTTGTGAAAAGAAAGTTGATCCTATAATCTTACTTGGAGTTATTGCAGGTAAAGGGGTACATATATATATATTTGTATATTTGTACAGTGCGTCCCATATCATATTAAATTATCTCCAAGTTTTAACACCAAAAAACAATAATTCTTGAAAAACCTAGCATTTTCCACAAGACAATTCTTATATTAGCCTTATTCAAGTTTTCAAAATGATTCATTCTTCTTAATTTATCTGATTAGTCCCAAAAATCGTAGTTTTGACTGATTATCGATCTAATATGATGTATATTTGTATATATGTCAGATATAGCTGGCCAAACGGCTGAATTTAATTAGAGACATTATATTAGGAAACCCATGGGTACAAAATAATTTTTTTTTCAAAATTCGGATTTTTTCATATGAAGGATGTGCTTCAGTTTGAAACGCCGTAATTATGACTAGCTCTCCAAAGTCCAAAGTCCTATTCCGGCTTTTATTGCAATTTTCAGTATTTTTTTCTGTTGTTAAGTTTTCATCAGAAATTAATTTTCAGCTTTGGCGGGTCTAACCTTCTTTCTTCGTCAGCAGGTGTTGACAAGTATTCCAATAGGAAGAAAACTGGAAGAAAGGTAACAAAGAGGAAAAAAAATTACGGAGTTGCCAGTGGGTTGCTACTTTAGTTCTAAAACATATATTGTTGTTTTAGTTCTGTAATTTGTGTTGTTGTTTTAGTTCTGTAATTTGTGTTGTTGTTTTAGTTCTGTAACTTGTGTTGTTGTTTTAGTTCTGTAATTTGTGTTGTTGTTTTAGTTCTGTAACTTGTGTTGTTGTTTTCGTTCTGTAACTTGTGTTGTTGTTTTAGTTCTGTAACTTGTGTTGTTGTTTTAGTTCTGTAACTTGTGCTTTTGTTTTTCTTCTTGTAACTTATGTCTTTAATTAATGCCATTTTATTTTTAAAATTTTGATTTTCATTTTGTTTAGTTTCAGCCTGTCTTATCTTTTACAAACAATTAGCGCCAGTCAAAAGTACGAAGAAAAAGGTAATTTTTTAATTAATTTTTATAACTAACCATTCTTTATTAATTTTTAATTATTAAAAGTTAATCTTTAATTAAAAGATGTTTTTGTTTAGATGTTTCAGAATCATTCGTTGACCCGAAAGTAGAGGTACTAAAAACATTTTTTTAAGAGCCCCACTTCTGATAAACAATCTGGCCAATCCGCCGGTCTAATCTCAACCATTAGGAAGACGTTCATTTGATGCGTTCATTTGATGCGTTCATTTGATGCGTTCATTTGATGCGTTCATTTTGCGACCTTAACATTTTTCTAGTTTTCATTTTACACGCAAAAGCAAAAGTCAGGAAACCATTTTGATTTTTGGAAATAAGGATTTCAAAACAATTTAGTTTAACCAATAGTTTTTCAGAAAAAGTCGTAATTACAGACATTGCGATGAAATGAACTTTATTGTTATTCACTAGTAAAGTAGCCTGAGGGGGGGGTCAATATTTATCGGAAAGTAGTAATGAGATTTTGAACCTTTTTTTGAGTGACATACCTAATTCAAACGTGGAACCCTTTTAACCGTATGACTGCGCCAAGTGATTAGGATATCCTTACTATTCTATCTGAAAATGGATAATTTTCAATTGTAATTTTTCTATAATGTGACTTGCGGATATATGCAATCAAGAAGAGAAATTGACAACATTTATCTCTTCTTGAGATAGAGAAACGACGACATCTTAATTAAATAAAGGTTATAAGGGTACCACTCTGAATTAGTTAGTTCATAACTTCATGTGAATTGCACAGACTTGTGCTGACTAATGAAAAGCACCAATTTCGCAATGATTGAATTATTGAAAAAAGTTTTTTTTTATTTTTAAGGTTGCCTCAGAAGCTTTGAGAATATTAAAAAATTTTGAGATTAAAAGTTGTAAACTCAACTTTAGTTTATGTCTCTCTGATGCTCTAATACTTTCAATAAAGGTAAAAACCAAAAGAAAATATTGATTGAGAATTAAGACTTTAAACGTTCCTTGAATAATTTAGCTTTTTTTTACAGAATAAGACAGTTATATTTCTATTGTTTATTTGTTAGCTTTTGCTTAAGGATTTCACATTTTTTATTGGAACATACTGTTAAGCCCTGCCAGCGCTGTTTGGAACCCACCATTGTAATCAGTGGCAACCTCTGTCATCTGAAGTTTAAGCATGGTATCAAAATCTGGTTTAAAAATAATTAAAAATAAAACTGATATTTTACCTGAAACATGTTCCTGTCATCAACATAGTTGTCATTTCTATCAGGGCCTCCAACAAGGGCACCATTTAGAATCTGAAAGACATCGCAGCAGATTAAGAAATTGTTTGTCCTAAATCTTCTTGCTTAATTTACCTGTGGGTTTGGTCCTGGGTCGTCTTTGTTTGCCCAGTCACAAGGGGCAGGCACATTGGGACAAGAAGCCCCTCTATGATGAGCTCTTTGTGGAGGATTTACTCCCCATCCGACCACATAGCTTCTACCAGTGTCCCCAAGTATGTAATTAATTTGACTTTCAGCAAAGTCAAAAGCATCCTTTGATCGTACTCCATAGTATGCTGCTTGAGTTGTATACATTGCAAAGTTTGCTGCATACCTCAAACTCCCCCACTCTGAGGATCCAATCCAGACTAACCCCTTTCCTGTTCTTTCGAATGAGATAACTTTTTCAACAAAGTCCTCTACTTTAGCTTTATACTGATCTTCACCTGTAAGTGCATACATTGCCAAGAAAACCATTGCAGATTTGTCATCCCAGGACACTTCACCTGGATTAGCTGAAGCCATGTCTGTTTCTTCATACATACTCTTGGCCTTTGCAATATCTTCAGGAGCTCCAGTAGCCAGAGCTATCCAGGCTGCAGACCATGCAAGTTCGTCAAGGTAGCCTCCCCAATCATTATAAAAATCTTCAGCAGGAATAGCATCTGTGTAATCTCCGTGGTAAACATCAGCAAATTCAAATAGCTTTTTGGCGTGAGTAAGACATTCATCTGCATATGAAGTATCGCCTATATTTCTGAAAAATATAGATGAAGCTGCAAGCGCAGCTGCAGTTTCTCCAGCAAGCTCAGAACCTGGTGCTGATGCAGTTATCTTGAATGCAGGTCTAGCCATTGTCATTTCCTCAGGCCTTCCCCAAAATGCATGATCTGCATTTCCATCACCGATTTGACCAATAAACTCAAAATCTGATGTATGGCAGCCAATAAAATAGTCAGTAGACCATTTTATACTTTTTGCCAGCCATTCTAGTTGCCCTGCTTTCTCATATCCAGATTGAAAGTTGATTCCTCCCCAAGCTACCACAGTGGTAAAAGCTGCCATTGGGAAACCAAACTTTACATGGTCCCCTGTGTCAAAATATCCTCCTAAAACTTCATCTCCCATTGCAGCGTTCCCTCTCCATGGAACTCTGTTGTCACTAGGAAGGGGTCCAGCTCTCTGGGCTTCATAGAAAAGAAGAGATTTCTCTATTATTTCTCCATATGGGTACTTTGGGGGATGATCAGGATTGTATATGTCTGAAGCAGTTGTAGTTGTTGGAACTCCTGGTGTTGTAGTCTGAGCTGAATTTCCTAAAATAAGTTAAATTGTTTATCAAGAACAAAATTATTAAGAACAAAATAGCATAACTTCACAAAGTACGTTTTCATTAAATGAAATTCTTGATATTTCAGGCTTCCTGTCTCCATTAACAACATTAAAAATAAGTTCAAACTCAGTTTCAGCATAAATTCCTACATTATATGATTTATTTGTCAGAGTCCAAACAGCTCCACTACCAGTTACTGTTGCAAGTGGAACGTGGACTTTTCTATATGAATCACCACTGTTATCATTAACTAAAATCATCTCTTTGCAGTCCCCTTTTGGCGCAAGGGTTGGAGTAGGAGGAGGAGTTGCAGTTTCACACATAATAACACCATTGAAACTAAAATTTTCATATTGGCATGTATTTGATAAGTTTTTGTCTTAACAATGTTGTCTTAAATAGTTTTATCATTAGAACAGTGTTTTATAGTTTGACAGACATAAATTTTAGGTACAAGTGTATTATAAGGACAATAAATTGTCATAATTTTTTTTTCAATAATTGCCCTGTAAAAAACACTTGGAGAAAAAATCAGAAACAAAAACTCTAAAACGAGTGTTCTGTATAAACAACTTTTCTTTTACTCTTTAAAAATTGAGGAACATTTACTTGACAAATGCTAACATTATTAAAACTAATATTTTTAAATCCTGGCATTTAATTTTCTCCATAGTATGCATAATAATAAAATTGCAATGAAAGCTTTTACAAGCCATGGACCAAACCTTTCCACTGCCTGTTCAGAATCAAATATGATTTCAACAACCCACTCATCAATGCAGACTTCATATTCTTGTCCATCCTCACCAACAATAGTTGCAATGCCATTACAGTCCAACTTTTTATTACTTGAATTTAAGTAGTTGTTGTCTCAACAATATTGGCTTGAATTTGGTTTCAACTTTAAAGTGATGCTCTTAAACATTTGAAAGAGGGTATTTTCAATGACCTTTCATAGTTTTGACCCTTTAAATAAAATTTTTGAATGGAAGCACGCTCACAAGTTAAAACTTTAATTATTGGGCTTCTAATTACCATTATTGGAAACCTCATTATTTTCTAATCGGTATTTTTTTTAGATCCACTTCTTATGAGAAATGCAAAAAATTCACATGGCAACAATTTGTAAATTAGAACTCAAAGTTGTGGTTTTACATAATGATTGATAAATCTCAAAAGAAAATTAGTCCCAGTATTAAATTCATCTGCAAGCAAAACTTTTAAGTTTGATCTCTAATTAAGTATAAGATTCCTAGGTTTAACTATTACACATTAAAAGCATATAGATATATAGGCTACTAAATTTAAGTTATGAAATCTCAATAACCTAAAAATGTATTTTATGCTTGTAAAACTCATAAAGCAAAATAGTTGGGTCAAAGGCATATAACCTGTTCTTTTCTGTAGGAAACATCCTTTAAAAATACTTTACTGATTTTTATAACCTTTTAATTTATAGGTTAGAGACACTTTATGAAAAAATATTTGGGTTTTAATATTAAAGTTGTGTGAAAGCATGCTGATTTAACAAACATTTTATTTAAATTACAAACAAAATGTTAGGGATTTCTCACAAATGTTTGAATTTTTTAACATTCTGTTCTTAATTTTGAACACAAAGCTTGGTATATTAAAATTGCTTTTGGTAATCATATAGTGCAAACAAAATGTTATTAATGCATAGTTCTAATATATACCTCCACAAAGTATCATTTCATTGAACGTAATCTTTGAGATCTCAGGTTTTCCATCTCCATGAACAACATTAAAAATTAATTCAAATTCAGCTCCAGCATCAATTCCTCCGTCGAATGATTTATTTGTCAGAGTCCAAACAGCTCCACTTCCAGTTACTGTTGCAAGTGGGCTGGAGACTCCTTGAACAGAACTTGAAAATTCTATGATGACAGTCCATGAAGTAACAGAAGTTGCTGGTGTAATGAACAATGTTATGTCTGAATCTGCACCATTATCATCAACAACTAACACATCTTCACAATCCCCTCCTGGTGTAGAAGTAGGAGTTGTTGTTCCACACATGCTAACACCATTGAAACTAATGTTTTCAAATCCTGGAATTCCATTTTCTCCATGGTATACATAAAAATAAACATCAAGGGAAGCACCTGATTCTAGATTGCAATCAAAGCTTTTGCAAGCTAGAGACCAAACCTTTCCACTGCCTGTTATGTCTGCTAGGGTAGATGTCACTCCCAACACATCAGAGTCAAAAACAATTTTTACTACCCAGGCTTCAATGCTTTGTGTTGGGGTGAGGGTAACTGCAACCTCAGTTTGTTGCTCGCCCTCTACAACAATTGTTGCAATACCATCACAGTCATTCTGTCCAGAACTTGATGTGGTAGTAGTTTGTGTTTGAGACGTTGTGGTTGTATCTGGTTTCAGTGTTGTTGTGGTTACAGGAGCACCACCGCAAATATCCTGATCATCAATATCTGCTGCAATAAGATAAGCTCTGCTAGAAAAATGAGGTTGGAAATGTAATTCTACATGAGCCCCATCTTCATAGTCAGAATCCCATTCAAGGTTTGTCAAAGTAAACGTTTTAGAATCGGTTGTTGAAACTGTCGCCTGCCAGCAGTCCAAAGAGGTAAGCACTTTGTCAAAAGTAAGATGAATTACCCAGCCATGGGCAGAGTGATCAATCTCAAACCTTAGGAAGCCATCAAAACCTTCTCCCCACTCTGAACCTATGAAAAGATTAGGACAGTCTTCTACCGCAGATGCGTAGTTAACAACAGCATATAGAATACAAATAAGAAAACTATGGTGTTTAAGCCTCATATCTTTATTCTCCCTAGCAGAGAAGATAAAACTGAATTGTCTCCACTTGAAGTTGTTGTTTTATTGATTATTTTATCTCTTTAGATACACGGATATTAAAAGTGTACAGTTCAGAACCTTAGTTTCCTTGTGTAGCACTCCTAATAGTTAGATGTAACAAATTTATTTTGAATCTTACAAAGTTTTTGAGACTTTGTAAGAATTTTTATTTTTGATAATTTTTTATTTGAAAGCAGTGACCGGCAATATATGGTAGTTGAACTGAGAATGTAGTATTGTGGAGTTATTTTTTAGGATTCATTTGAGACATTTAAAACGTTTTATTGATGTATAATAACTGAGTTTGAGTGCAAAGTGGACATTCAAAATTATCCATTTGGGTGATTACGTTTTGAGAATAGATTTTTTCAATTTTTTAAAAAAGGCGGCCAAAAATTTTAAAAAATATTCTGCTTTAACTAATTAGATGTTTAGGAACACATTTCTTAATTGAAATTTTCTCAATAAATTAATGCGAGAATCAATCATTTCTTTTTCATCATTATATTGAATTTCTTATTCTTTATGAATTTGTTCAAAGATTTCTTCAGATTCTTCAAATGTTGTCTTTTCAACAAAACTCCAGGAAATTTACAGAAAATTTTTGTGAACAATGAGACATTACAGAAACCAATAACTGAATAAGATTACTTATTTTCGATGATAAGAGTTGATTTTTATTTTCTCAACCTGTTTTTATCAAGTAATTAGTTTACTGTAGAACTTTTACTACTTTTTTCATCCTTTTTATTGAATAATTTTTTAAAAACCGACTCTCGAAATCATCTTTGAAAATGAGCAATCTATGAGGGTTTTAAAGATTGAATTTGTGCTCTTGCTGATAAAATATGCACAATAAAAATGTCTCATAGGTTGTAAACGTTTCCTTATTTCTCCACAATACTACATTCTCAATTCAACTACCATACATTGCCAGTTAGTCCCTTTAAATACGAATTTTATGCTTCCCATTCACAATTTTGAAAATTATTCTTTTAACTGTTCTGATTGGAACCCAAAGGAACTGATATCCTGCCATAACTCTATTTTTATAATTATGAGTAGAGTAATCAGTTTCTAAGTTAAAACAACTCAGAACAGTAATTACTTCATCCCAGGGATGGCAATTAACATTCAGTGTCCTTAGTGTCCTTTATTGTTAATTACCATCCCTCATGTGGAAAAATTAATGTTTTGCAAGTTAATTACCATCCCTTCAATTGAGTCATAAATGTCCTGAGTATTAATTACCATCTCTCTAGGGGATTAATTAGTGTCTTGAGTGTTAGTTACTATCTCTCCAATGGAGTAATTAGTGTCCTGAATGAGTGTTTATTACCATCCCTCCGGTGGAGTAATTAGTGTGCTGCATGTCATTCTCATTCCTCCAATGGACTAATTAGTTTTCTGAATCTTGATTACCATTACCATTGGAGTAATTAGTGTTCTGAGTGTAAATTACCATCCCTCCGAAGAAGTAAATAGCATTTAATCAAAAATGTGCATTCCCTCCAGTGGGCTCCGCTCCAGCTGATGGGACCCAATATGCTGCTACAAACTTCAATCTCTCATTTTTATGACATCACAAGCTTACAATTTACGTAATTGTCTGTTATCAGCTAGTTTGCAATTCTGATCCTGCAAACTTACATAAATGTGTAAACATTCTATATAAGCACTTTTTTAACTTTAATAATTTATTTGATTATTACAATATTACAATATTACAATATTTTTAAATATTTATATGATTTAAGATAAAAATATTTTGAGATTTCTATATTTCTTGTTCTTCATTTTTTTCTTGTTCGTACATCTTTCAATCTTATTTTGGCTAAATTTGAAAAAAAGAAAAGATTTTTTTTGGATATCCTTGTAGTACACCACTCTACAAGAAAGACCTATTTTTAAAGGATCTTGCTTTTCTCTGAACTCTGTATTGAATTGAACTAGCTGAGAGGATCTTGCTTACTCATGAGTTACATATGACTAAGCAAAGCACCAATTCCTGATATTTTCTTGAGGGCAGGGAGGCGGGTGAGGAGAGCAAGCTTCTCACCCTCCTCCCCCATCTTTTGCAGGGGGGGGGGGGGAATGTCTTCCAAGCCCCCATCTCTAATATCAATAGATTTCCCATCCAATACTTCTTGTACAGTTTTCTTTTTTCTTCTTGCTTCTTGTTCTTGTTTCTACACTTTGAGGCCTCTCCAAATAGTTATTTTGACATTGAGTTGTGGAACAAGTAGGAAAGAGATGATGAGGTTTGTAGGAAGAAGGGTATAAGGGATTGCTCCCTGTTTTCCATCGTGTTATAGTCTTTCTGAATAAGGGAATAATAAGGAAACCCATAACTGCACCCCTTATGCAAAATTGGGAGTTGTCAGCCGGAACGCCCCATTGAGAGGAATCTTCCACAGTGGTCCAGTCCTCACAGCTGGTCGAGTAAAAACCTGTTTCGAAGTGCATGGCTTGTATACTGATCAGGGGTTATACTCCTTCTTTCAGTGAACCATGCTGAAGATGGAGTCTTGTTTTATTCTATGTAGGAGTCTTGTTTTATTCTATGTACATTCGTTACTCCTCTGTAGGATACGATATGTGCAACTAAACACAGGGCTCCCCCAAACTGTAAAGCCGGGACCTCTATGAGAGAGGTCCATTCTCGTCTAAGGGCGGTAAGCAACTGTTATATAAGCACTTAATTATATAAAACTTTCATATAAGCATATAACATTTAGAACCAAGTTATAAGTTTTAATAGTTTAACGAGCATGAGACACAGCAATTGTGCAGTGTAAACAGACCCATTTTACTAAATCCGTGGTTTAATCAGTGACTAGTAAAACTATTTGCTTTGTAACAACATCAACTACACAAGGTATTGCTACAATGTCGTCTTCCTATTTCATAGTTTTCTGGTTATTTCTGTAGTAATTCCGGATGCTATAAATGTAATAACAAAAAAATTAAGAACAACCGTAAAGAAATTGATTCTTTGCCACAAAATCAAATTTTCTAATTCATATATCTTTAAAGCCTGATAGCGTAATTTCAAATTTCAAACTTAGATTATTAAATCTAACAGAACTCAACTATAACATTTAATTAATTAATTAAAACCATTGTTTACTCTAGGATGTCCCCTGGAATGACAAGTATATACTCCATGAACTGGTTCAGGGTTCAGCTGAATACCTTACCCAGGGTTCGATTCACAGCACCTGGACAAATATCAGGGAAAACAGCTTGGATTTTTTTAAATTTTCAAATGACTTCCATTTGTTGAAATGGCATGCCCGATTCACAACGGTACCTTTTAAGCAATCGCAAAAAATGACGAAAATATTACTTTTCGTTTTTATATCATTCTCAACATTAAATATCTTCTAATGTGTTCTCTCTAAAAGTAGCTTGCAGATTTTAAGAAAAAAAAGATATCATTATCATGCAATGTTACTCACTTAAAGGTGCAGAGTTGTGAATCGAGTAAGCAACACTTAAAACTACGAGGACAGTCCCTTTAATTTCACAAAAATATTTTGTCTTCCGAATTTCAAAAACTCAAATCGATCCAAACCATGTTTTTATAGAAAAATCGAACATATCAAGCTTACAGAGAAATGTATTAGTGATTATAACCTTTGCTCAAGTAAGCAAGAAGATATACAATTCCAACATTAACAGTGACCATGGGACTTAAAGAGGGTGATTATGCAGGTTTAATATGATTTCCAAGTACATATTTAACTGGGACGGAGCACCTCCCAAGAAGGTTAAGTTCCCTCCTGGAGAGATCCCTGACAGCTGACAGTGACCTTATAATATTATAAACATTAATTGAAGGACAAAAAAAGTTTTCAAAAATCAAACTATATTTTTTTTCAAATGAAGAAGTCAATTGTTGTATTGTATTTAACCTTGCTAGTTTTATTTTCAAGAATTATTTGCAATAATATTTGCAATGATAATTGCAGTAATAACTAAAAAATTATATAACTAAATAGACACGATATCATGAAAAGCTTAGTCGGCCGATATGTATAAGTTTGTTTGTATGTCTCTTAAAGCCTGCCAACAAAACAATCGTTACGTTTCTAATTTTTGACAACTTTTTATAATTTAGTGATTCTTCACGTAGACAATTTCTTTACAAATATTTTAGCTAACCCTGTTCATAAAAATAATAAAAATTAAAACCGTGTATATATATATATGCGGCCGGAAATGACTTGTGCATCCATTTGTCCACTGTGCTACAGATTTGTCTGCTCCATCACAGATATGGCTGATGTTCCACGGATTGGGCCACTTTACTGCGATTTGGCCATTCTGTCTCATATCTGGCTGTAATGCGCCAAGCCACGTAATTGGCCACCGTTCATAGGTTTGGGGCTGCCGTGATGCAGATTTGGCCGCCAGACCACAGCATTGGCTGCCATGCCAAAGATTTGGATGCTGTGCCACAGATTTGGATGCTGTGCCACAGATTTGGATGCTGTGCCACAGATTTGGCTGCGGTGCCACAGATTTTGCCACTGTGTCATAGATTTGACCAATATGCGAAGGATTTGGCTGGTGCCTCAGATTTGGCAGGGTCGCAAAACGCTGAGGAGATAAACTGAAAATATGGCTGCTTTGCTATCATTGTATTTCTGTATTGAAAGTAATTAGAATGTTTCAAGGACATTAATCATGCATTCAGTGTGCTTAGGGCAGGAATTCAAATTCTTTTCATATTTTTTCCAATCTTTTTCCAAATTCCAAAGAATCAAGAAGCCAATGAGATAATCTATTTTTTGGACAAATTTTTTTTGCAAACATTTTTACTATATAATTGGATTTTGCGATAAAAAATTCAATTTTTGAAAATTTGCCAATTTTTTGGCAGATTATAAAAAAAGAGCACAAGAGCTTTCCAATGATGTATCATTTGTCATATTTGGACATCAAACATGGGGATTTAGAGGGGGGGGGGTCAAATTGACCCCCCTCCCCAGCATATCCTGGTTTTCAAGTACCCCAGCAGAGATAGGGTTAATGAAAAGTTTTCTTCACTGATTAACAAAATGATCAAAGTCGTGAATTCTGCCCGGCTTCCTCACATTGCACATTGCACATTGCACACTGACTAGACAAAATGAGATTGTCGTGTCTAGTAAAAAATCAAGATGTTCACAGTGCACTCTGCACTATAGCACAGACATAAATAGAAATTGATCTACAATGGCAACTTTAAAACTGAAAACTGAAGAATAACGGAAATGGTGTTTTTATAATTAATGATGAGAAAAAAAAACAGATTGATTATCTATAGATAGCAATTGCCATTTTAGCAGGGAGTGTCAATTGAAATTACGCTTACATTCCCTTTAAGTTATGACTTTGAAGAATACAATAAACACAACACACAGTAATTGTACAGTGGTATGACTTGGGTTTCTAGCCATAAGAAAAAAACGTTATGCGAAAATTTCGCATTTTCGCGAAATTTTTTTTCTCGAAATTTTCTTATTTCGTTCACTCAAGAAAAATGCGAAAATTTAGCTTCAATCTGTTTAGCGAAAAAATACGAAACATTCGCGAAGAAATCGTGAAAAAAGTAGTGAAAAAATTTCGTGAAAAAAGGGAAATCATGCAAAAAACAAAAATTTCGTAAAAAATACAGAATTTTTAAAAATAACTACAAAATTTTAGCGAAAATTAATCAAAAAAGACTAAATGTTGAAAATACAAGACTCATTTTCAAAAAGAGATTCATCCGCGAGCCCAATTGATGGATAAACACAAAATATAGATATAGATTTAATAACTTAAATAGGAGGAGACATCAGACAATTCATAGGTTTGCTTGAAAGCCCTAATCATCACATCCATTTTTTGGTTTTCAAGTATAAGATAAAACTATTTGCTTTAATAACAGCATCTAATACTTCAAATATAAGATAAAACTATTTGCTTTAATAACAGCATCTAATACTCCTAAGATTGCTTAAATATCGTCTTCCTACAATGATCGGCGTTTCTATATCAATTCAATGAATACGACCTTTCTATTTATGTTTTGATTTATAACAAGATTTTTCCAAATTACAAGTTTACAAGCTTAAGCAAAGAGAAGCTGTTAATTGCCAGTTTCTCTTAGTTTTCATGTCTATGTGCATTGTGCATCCAAGCTGTAAAAAAGCTCGATAGAAATCAAAAATTGTAATCGAAAGTCGTCTTCACTGTATTGATATATATACAACGACGACTGTTATATCACTCTCACATTTTGCAGAAAGTACTAAAATAAATTTATATTTTGTCTAAAATTACAAGATATCTGAATTTTGGCATAGCAGTATGTTTGACATGTAAATGTACAATCCTCGAGTAATTTTGTGCCTAGTGTCTCAGATCTTCTTTAGACAATCACAAATTTTAAAAATCATGCCTAGGACCCAAAAAAAAGCCCAGAACCCAAACAAGTCTAGAACCCGGATGCAACAATGAGCTCATTTTCAAACTGCAGCACACGTGCTTCCGCCTGAGCATGAGAAAGAGATCCAGGATTTATACCCTGAGCCGCCAGAACCTAAACAAGCAAATTTATAACGCTGTTTGATGCAGGATTACCCAGAAAGTATGAGACTTTACAGACAACTGTACGGAATTTATTTTGCCTGTTTCCTTATATTCATGATTCCTTTCAACTATAAACGTCTTTCATTCTTTGTCAAATCAAATGATTGCTTTAAAATTCATTGTTTAAATTTTTTGGGTTATTTATAATTTTAAAATTATCTACAAATATAAAGTTGTAATCTCTGTTTGTCTGTGTGTTTGTTTCTTTGTACGATCATAATTTGGTTTCCCGGTCAATTTTAAAAAGTAGGTTTGTGGTTAATTCAATTGGCCCTGGCGGCGGCGGTGTAATATCCAATTTTGCCTTAAATTGTAAAATATGTTCTAGCGGCTTAAAGGTTGGTCCGGTACTTCGAATGAATTTGTTTACCTCTGCCTCAGCAGCCTGATGTTCAGCTAGACCAGGAACCTCAGGGAGAGGAAGGTTGGCTTGAGCAATAGCGTTGTGTTGTCTGATCACAGCCTAGAATTTTATATTATATTTAGCCTTGGACTTTAAAGAGACTGTGTCGTAATTTCCAGTGACCCTCCAATGTCTATTTCAAAACGGCACCTTTTCAACAACCATGGCCCCTTTCTCAAGTAAAACATAGTGAATTCTGGCCATATTGTTCATTGTCTCTGCATACAAGTCACTTGCGTAGAAAACCCGAAATTGAAAATAATCATTTTTCAGCTAGAAAAATGAGATTAATGCTTGAACTAAACTATTTTTTTCTGCTACTTTTTTAGATTTTTCAAGCCTCAAGTCAACCATGGTTGGGCTCAGGTTTGTTTTGCGAGGCTTAAAGCCATAGATAAAGATAGATTGCGCATAAGACGACATTTTTCATCCTGAAAGATATAAATGTACAGAGATGTTTTAAAGATATTTCTATTATATAGATTAACTAGGTCAGTTGTGAACATTGGCTGTTCTTATTTGTCATTGAGTACTTGTGGTGTACATGAGTTCTGTAGAGAGAAATTTAAGTTAGTTCAGTCCTTCTCATGTCCTTCTTCAGTTCTCGTCAATAAGATATATTGCTCAGTGAAATATTGTTGTTCAAATAGTTCCATTCCCGGAGTTAGTTTAATAATTATGAAATCCATTAAAACACCAAACCACCCCGCTTATCATTGAAGTACACTTTGACCCCTAGAAGTATGAGTTCGCAGACTGTACAATTCTTGGCGATTTTGCGTAGATATCTATCTAGGTTTATTTATTTATCTATGGTTAAAGCGGAGTCTGCAAATTCTGCGGATTCTGAGAGAAGAAACTCAAATTTAATTACTCCATGTATCTTTTCAACCTGATGGTGTAAACTATTTCAAACATAAACTATATTGTCTAACATAATTCATATTTTGAAATATAAAAAGTCTATGACATCGGTTTGAAAGAATATCAGACACACTGTCCAGAAATTTCGTTACTCGGCAAAAGAAGACGACATTGGAAAACATTTTCGGTATCTAAGAAAATTTACCTGCTGTGCTGGAGTAAAGATGGATAGATCTTGCTGCCCGACATTGCAGAGAGGATAGTTGGGGCATTGTGCAGCAGAGACTCCAGCTGGCAGCTGGGGCCGTGCATCAGCTGACATAGACAACAACAAGGACATAACTGCAGATTTCAGCATCTAGTCAAAAATTATAATGATTATTCATTATTATTATTATTATCATTATTATTATTATTATTATTATTATTATTATTATTATTATTATCAGTGTTATCATTATATTATTATTATTGTTTTTATTTTTATAATTGAAATCACGCCAAACAAAAATCGAAGAAAAATCGGAAAATAATTTAAAATAATAAAATAACGATTTATATTATTAGATTATGGCTGATCCTTAATTACACCTTTTAATCTTCTAATTACTAATTTTCATTTAAATTTAAAAATTATCGGTCCTTTCCCTTGCTATTTTATGACTAAGTGTGAATATGATAAAACATAAAACTGAAATAAACTTTTCAAAATGTTGTTTACTTTTTTTGTAGCTTCATAAATGAATAGAATGGATATTATTTTTAATCACATTTTAAAAACATCACGATGTGGACGACATTAAGGTTTATTCATAAATAATTCTGTTTATAGGTCGTCAGTGAAATCTCATCCTATGTGGGCCAAATTCTTAGTATCAAAATCCTACCTTGAAAATATAGGAGTCAATCCAAGCGGAATCTACTGCCTAATAGTGCTTGGGTGACCTTTACTGGGCCTTTTATACAAGGCACAGGTCAGGGGGGCTTCACTATAGTGCCAGGGAGGGGGGTCAGTACAGGATTTTCCTAGTTTTAAAGAGCTTATATTTCAAAACAAATCAAATCATATATTTTTCTGTATTAATAATTATAATAGATATTAATTAAAGTACAATCAGTATAAGTAAAACTATCTCAGCAGGCCCCCCTGTAATCCTTAAGTTATATATTTGACTATTTTCAACCAAGCTTTTTAACCAAAAATTATAATTTAGACCTACGCACAATCCAATTTGATATGAGACACCCTGTATGTATTTTGCGTAACACTTTTCCAGTTTATTTTATAATTTTAAACCTTTAAACGTTTCAAGTTTTCATACTTAGATAAATAGAGATAGATAGATAGAGATAGGTAGATAGATAGAGATAGGTAGATAGATAGAGATAGGTAGATAGATAGAGATAGGTAGATAGATAGAGATAGGTAGATAGATAGNTTAAATTAAATTATAAAGTAACGGGTTACCCGCAAGGGATGAGACTTCAGACACGACTGTCCACATATTTCTTAATTTGTCTAATTATAAAACCTATTTTTACCTTGGGATCGTCATATAAAGTGAGTTTTATGAAGTCTTTTCAATCTCATCCTTTAAAGGTAATCCATAAAAAAGTTAAATTAATCCAAAATAAAGGGTAACCCACAAAGATGAGATTGTAAAGACAACCTAAAACTCTTAAAATATGACGATCCCGAGCTTTAATCAAGTCTTTTGGCTTGAATATTTAATAGCTTACTACTGTGATTTAGTAAAGTAAGAAACAAGTTTTTCAGTTGCAGGGAATCATGCATATAAAGAAATAGACAGTATAAATCCCATATAATCGTCTCTTAAGTCTCATCCTTTGTGGGTAACCTCTGTACCAAAAGTACGAAGAAGACGACCTTTTGTTTCTTCTTATTTGAATAACTTGTGTTCCCAATTGTTTCATAAACTTGAGGTTATAGGTTGTCCCCCTCCTCAATCATATTTGATTTGATTTGTGCATCTATATCTATATATAAATTTGGCTTCTCTTTCTAATTGTCTGTTTGTCTGTATCCAATAAACGTCAAAACGACTGAACCGATCGGGCCCACATTTTTTGTGGGACCTCTTTTGACCCCAGAGAAGGTTTATGTATGGTCGAATTTTCAAAAATTTGGCTCTATCAAAATTCTATTTTTGAAATTTTGAAAATCCACAAAATTTTTTTCAAATCCGCGAAATTCTTGTTTGTTTTGTTTTACAATGTATACAAAGAGAACATGTTCACAATTGAAATAGAAGATGCCTCTACATTGGGATATTTAGGATTTAGGATAATACATTATTATATGCAAGAACAGAGATTATTAAATTGAATTTAAGAGTTAATATTCATTAATCATTAACCTTCCTCATCCTCAATTTTGATATTTTTGTATCTTGAGTAATTACACAGTTAGAATAGTTTAATGTTACACACTTTTTATTTTCTTTAATTTCATATTGGAAATCACTAAGACTCATTTTTTCGATTTCAAAGTGAATTTAAGCATTTGCATAATTGAGTAGAACACACTGCATTCTCTTTGCTTATATTTGACGGCAAAACCAAAATCTGCAATTTGGAAGTTTATAAGAACAATGTTAGAATTCTAGAAATACTTTTTTTGCCTCTTCCCGAATACTTTTGTGAAAGGGGGGGGGGAATTTTATTTTTCCTGTGCTGAGGGGTGGGGGTACAGTTGGTTAGCCCCCCTTGTTGAAATCTTTTTTTTTAATAAAAGCACTGTTTTAAGAGTTTAAATTTTTCAATTGTTGCTGGTTTGAATCTGTGCTCAATAATACCGACTAGCTTTTACTTTAAAAAAATTATACTTCTAAAACTGAAAATAAATGACATGAGTCAATTCGTTGAATGCGTGTGCCATTCGGCAACAAATTTATGTTCTTTAATTGTCTTTTTATGTCTTTTTTAGTGTCTGTTAAAGTCCCTGGCTTAGTCATATTCACTATGTGTATTAAGGCCTGTACAGTCTTCAGCAGTTTTTGTAATTCATCCTTTAGTCAAATGTCCACTATATGGTCCATTAATTGTAAGTCTGTGTAGTCCTAAGCAGTAAGTAATTTGTGCCTATCTTTAGTCTGTCCATAATCCATATATAGTCTTTTTGTAGTCCCTCTAACCTTGTTTTCAATTTTCTTCTCTTGCATAGCCTACAAATATTTTTTTTGGGCCTTCCCCACCCCCCTCTAAGTTGCTAAAGGAGGGTGGCCTCCCGCTGTATGTATAAAATGCCTTATTTTTCACATTAGCTTTATGCCAGGTAAATAGAAGGTAGTTAAAGTAGTAATAATGTAAATTTTAAAAATAAAGATGTGTATTGATTTGTATATAAATGGTAGAACTCAGGGTAGTTGGGATCCCCCCACCATAGTTGCACTTCTGTTCGGGTCAAAATTTGGCTTTGTGTAAGAAATGCAAATGTTAAAAATAAACAATTTTGAAATTTGTTAAAATTCGCAGATTCTTGTGGAGGCTTTTAAAACACCAGAGAAAACGTATGGTATTGAAAAAACGACCCTCCAACTAAAAAATTGCTTTGAAACAAATATGAGTTTCTAATAAAAGAAAAAGTTATGACAAAAATTAGAGTTATGAAGAAATGAAGCAAGAAATACCATTACTCTTACTCTTTAAACATATTGTGATTTATATCTGAGGTAAGCTTTCCCTCTTCGTTTCTCTATGTTTACTTGAATATTATATAAATATTACATATTATTTAATATTAAAAAAATATTATTAAAGTATAAACAAGAATTTTAGCTCTTTATCAACCTTAAAAGAACTTCAGTGCTGACTGTTGAGGCTGGGGACTAATTGATCAAGATTAAATAATGTAAAATCTATACGAAAACCTAGAACGATCCTAGAACTCTTACATTTTATCTGATTTTCGTCAGTGGTATATATCTACAGGGTGTCCCAATAAACATGGGAGTTCAGTGACGAATTCGATATCGTCTTTTTAAATAATTCTTTGATTCAGTATTGTGATACCTACTGAGAAAGCTGTAATCTGTATAGATTTCGTCTGCTATGTTCACATTTTGTTTGTTCATGCATACGGTTGTACTTAGTAAAACAAGAAAATTGCAGTATACAAACAGAGTAAACTTGTCCGTCTTCACTAATCATCTTGCGGAGACATTATAGACACATCTTCGCAGTCTTTTACCCTTTTCATAAAATAAACTTTAGCAGACATAATAATATTATGGGTTTTGAAATTAGGTATTACAATGCTAATTCATAACAAAGACGATATCGAATTCGTCACTGAATTCCCATGTTTTTTGGGACACCCCGTATATATATAAAAGTATTTGAAAGTCCCATATTATATTGGATTGATTAACGGGCTCGCATTTGAAAAACGATTTCAAATTAAAGATTCGCTTAATAAGTGCAAGTCGCAAGTGTATGGCGGTAGTTTTTTCTGTTTTGCGATTAATTTATACAAGGATTTTAGGGAGCGTTGCGCCCATCTAACTTTTAATTGTGGCTTTATCTGTGAGCATCTTCTCTTCGTACAGTATAAAAAAAGTTTGAGGATTTCAAAATATTTTTTCGCGCATTTTCAAAATTTTACAACAAAAATATAAACTTTGAAACACAAACTTTCGAAATTTGAACCATTCATAAACCTTCCCAGGGGTCAAGTGAGGTCCCACACAAAATTTTGGCCTGATCGGTTCAGCCGTTTATTCGTGACAAACAGACAGACAAGCAAAGTATATATTTATTGAGTCATCCAATAAACGAGCCCGTTAATTAATTCAATATGACGTAAAGACAAAGGACGAGAATTCAAAGACGATTGGAATTTATACGGAAAATTTCATTATATTCCCGACATCCTGCAACTAAAACCTTTTTTTTCAAATCATTAAATAGGACAGTCAAGGCCACATACAAGGTAATACGACTGAATTAAAACTTTGAATTATATTTCAAGAATTTCAAGTCGTCTTTACAGTCTCATCCTTTGTGGGTAACCCTGTATAACATTTACGACAAATCACGATATTTTAATTATTTACAAATTATGCTTAAAAATGACCATAAGCAGTGTAATTCACAATACTCAGCAAAACGTGCATATTTCTGCTTTGGAAACAACGGGAACATTTTTCTGAAAGAGACATGTTTTCAGCCTGATTAACGACAATAATATTCACATTATTGACCATATAAAGATACAGATAGAGGGTACTGTTGTGAATTGCACATACTACCCTGAAAATGTAAGGTAGCTTGAAGTTGAAGCAATAGTAACGCCCATTAATTTTGTTGATCAAGTACAGGGTTACCCACAAATGAGGAGACTTTAATGTCGACCTTGATCGATCGGTTGTATTTCGAATTTAACACTTTCTTTGACCAATATATGATTAGCTAAGATATTAATAAATTTATAGTTGCATAGAACCAAAAATGTTAAAGGGACCGTTCACTTATTTGGGTAATTTGAGGGTTAACTAAATAGCCTGATAGCTATTCATTAGTATTAGTCCTACTTTTTAAAGTAAACTGTGGCATGAGAAAAAGACGATTTATCATTTGATACGTTTTCCCTTCTTCCACAGGAGTCAGTGATTTATTGACAAGTTAGAATTTAGGAACTTTAATTTCTTGCGAATTTTTATTTTTTATTATATAAGATCTGACTCGGCTGACACGTGATGTAATTGAATACGATAATTTTAGATTTTATTGGGCTGTTGTTACTGAAAAAACGTTTAAATAGTATCTAAGCAAAGTTATACCTTTGCGCTGGAATTCTAAATGATAAAATAGACTTTTCTCTAGTCATAGATACCTTTGAAAAGTACGACTAATACCAAATGAATAGCTAATAGGCTGATTAGTTTACCATGAATTACCCAAATAAGTGAACGGTCCCTTTAAGATTAAAAATGCAACCCAACAAACTTTTTGAGTCTCGCACAACAATGATGCAATAAAACAGTTTTTTTTTACATAATTTATTCTATTGTAACAAAAATATTAGTTCTTACAACTCAAGCACTTGTACAAAATTTAGTTCAAATCCAAATTTTGGTAAAATTATATATTTCTGACAGACCTTCGGGGGGAAACAAAACACATATGGGTTTGTGCGCCACGGCCGGGTGCTTCCGGATTGTTAAAACACAACACTAACCATGCTGTTGTTTAAATACAACCGGGCCGAGGCGTACATACTCCTGCTAGAAGCTTTAACAAGCATTCACCGGACATTATATATAATTATAAAATTATCAAAGTATAAAAAAGCTTCTTTTGCTAATCATTAGTCTTAAAAGAATGCTTAAAGTTAAGTACACTTCTCAGAAAGAACTAGCTTAAAAATACCCAATAGCCATGAACAAGCTTTAGAAGTAAGAATGGTTTTAAACCACTGAATTATTTCAAATGCATGGAAAAATTCACTTGGAACGATGCCAATGATACGAATGTTTTGAAAATTATGAAAAATGCGCATAATCTGGAGAAATGGAAAGAATAGGTAACACAATCGGTAGAATCGCAAGTGTTAAATCATTTTAATGTTTATATGGCAACTAGAAAATACATAGGTCATACAACTGATAAAATAAACTGGACCATAAAAAATCACAAGATTGGCAGAATCTAGAAGCGCCCGCCGGCAACTTCCACCCTGCAGTGGTCACTTAAGGGGACTAGTACAAGAACTGTACGATAGATGTCCGGTTTAGTTAACAAAATATCCGCTAGGCACCGCTATGAGGGATAGGCTGCTGTAGTGCACATTTTGTCCACTAGATGTAGTTTCTGGACATCTGATATCTGGTCCTATGTACAGTGGGTGCACTAGTCCACCCTATCCCGAGGTGACTCACGCTAGTCACTTTTCTGACTCGTCAACACTGTCCACGGTGTCGTCTGGTAAAGACGAATCGTCACCAGGAGCGACACTGCCGCGCGCTTTCATAAGTCGGGAAGATGGAAGACCACAAACACCTCGCCTGCAAAAAAGATCAAAAAATCACTTCCAGAAAATAAATGAATTTTAAAAATAATCCAAAACCTATCAAAACAAAAAAATCATAATTCAATATGAACTACAATATGATCATAGCATATACTAGATAACAACTCAAAAGTGAAACTAAACAAGTAAAAAAGTAAATCGTACTTTGAATGAAAACTGTTACACGGACTAATCCTGAAGTTTGACCGGATTTATTCAACGCACCACATCCCAATCTACACTGCTATGGTCGACAGAGGGGGGGGGGAAGGGTGGTAGGACCTTCGCACCCCCCTGAGATTTCAGAATAGCTTCTCAATAGCACTTAAAGAAAAGAAAACCTGGTGCAAAACGGGAAAAATATCTCTCAAAATAAATTTCACGTCTTTTTGTTCCGAAATGAATCTAACATCCCCCTTACTTAAATCCTGTATCCGCCCCTGGTCAGCAGTTTGCTAAACTATGAGCGACAAATTCTTGTAAGAATGTTTTTATTTTGTGCTTATTGTGCATTATATTTTTGCACAAAAAACTACTTCTAAATAAGAATAGGGCGCAGAGGGTTAACAGGAATTTATCCCGGGGACTTCTTTGTTTTTGACATACCAGAGACTCGACCCCCTTGAAAATCATAGTTATTTTCTCCAGGGGGGGGGAGGTTAGCCTTGCCCTTTTGTCCTTTTTTTTGCCTAGGGAAAGTTGTCGGCATCAAAATTAAATGCTATCTATAAAGCAGTAATTTTTTTGCATCGAAGATTCACAAAATAGAAAAAGGGGTCGGCCGTTTTGAGCCTCACCCCAAGTTGAATGCTCTATGTTCATTAAAAGTTTAGAAAGGTGCCTTAAAGCTAAAATTTGCGCGTCCGGTAGTGTAGTTTACGTAGGTTAATACCATGCATCACATATTATGGCACGTATAATGTTAGTTCGCGTGGTTTAAGGAATTTAAGAGTAAATACCATAACTTTGTTTACAATTAAAATGTATTGTAGTTTCTGGTTGAAATAAAAATAAAGCTCAGACTGAGCAAATCGACTATTTCCTCCCAACACACTTATTCGTGAACGAAGATAAGAGATTACTGTTAGTATAAAAGTCAATTATCAAATATAATGTGTGGTTAATCATGCAGTTAGTTAGTCTCCATGCAAAACCTAAATACAATCCCAACTTTAATTGAATACGGGATTAAAGAAACTGCTTCCAAGGTAAACAAGTGAATCCTTATTTTGCAAGTAATAAAGTAAAAAAACAAAATTCATAATTTTAGGTATCAGAGCTCGAAATTTAAAAGAGTATCGTGGAACGAAACTCCCGAGTTTCCATTTTGAGGTCCTAACATTTGTGTAGATTTTGATTAAAAAGATTTTAAAAAATGGAGTATATTGAAGAAATTAAATAAGAAAATATTTTATCACAAAATATTGATATCGACAAAAATGCCTAACCCCGTTCTTAAAACCCGGGTTTCAAAACTGGTTTTCATAACAATACCCTTTCTTAAGTTTTGGGCTCAGGGAGATTTTAAAGTTTTTTTAAAGAGAGATAATGTCTAATTTTCAACTATTTTACAACTTGGCAGCAGTCCCTTAGAGCCACACCATCCATCCACCACTATATACTTGTCTCCATCTACTAGTGTAGAACTGAACCGTGGGGAGGCTGATCTTGTAGAAAGATCCTCCGAGGACATGGTGAGAGGTGACTCCGACTCCCTGGCTGAGAGAAGGCTGGATAGGTCCCCGGCTGCCCGGCGCGCTGACCGACTACTCATCGTGCTGTTCCTGAAGTCCCAAGCTTGTGTTAGTACCAAATCCACCAAATATTTAGTTATTATGCATAAAAAACGGACGTAATTGTAAATAACCCTTCGTCAATAACTTCTGGGCAGGTACCCTGTAATCTTATTATGGAAGATGGAAAGATATCATAGTTTTATTTTATAAGGACTGTAAGAGTAATTTCAAGTGACCTTTCACGAAAAGATAACATTTCCTGATTCACAACAGTACCTTTTATCAAAAGTTAACACGAGTTAACCTAGAACACGACAATCTCCATATCTATGAAAAAAATAAAGGTTTTAATTTTGAATCGGACATTGCCATTTTTCAGGTCACAAAATCACGCTTACAGTCCTTATCATGGGATTGGGCCTCCTCGCCAAAAAACGAATAAAAATAAATTTACAGAATCTACGGCTTTCTAAAATTTGAAAAGTCATTCAAAATTACGCTGAATTATAAATAGTTAAAACTTTTAAATTATTATATGCATATCTTTTTTAACTATATTCATAACGAATACACATTATAAGTAATATCAGAATCTAAAGCTATCCTAATAACTAATACCACATTCATTACCAAGCATTAAATTAATATTATGAACTTATTGAAGAGTCATAATAACAGGATTAATTACAGATTTAGGTGAACAAGTCTGAGAAGAGTTAACCCCGGTCTGTGGTACAAAGAGAGGAATACGGTTTGATACATTAAACAGTGAAATATTAAAGCGACATGAAACTCGTTTTTTAGTGGAAAATAAACAGTGATTGCCCTGTATTTGTGTATACACACGTTTGTATGTTTATAACTGTATTTGAAAGATAGTGTTAATGGTTTTTAAGGTTTAGGTCATCTATTTTGGCAACGACAACCTTTATGACATTCTGACATGCTATCTTCATCATATACACCAGGGGCGCCCATAGTACTGAAGAGAGGGGGGGGGGGTAAGGTTATCTCCAAAAATGTTAAGGTTAGTTATAATCAAGCATTATTTAAGCATATATATATCACCAGTTCAAACCATTATTCAGCCTCAGTCGGAGATTTGTTAATTGTAGCTAGGACTACCAAACCAGCAGATCTAGTCACAGGATGTCTCATTAAAACAAAAAGAAAATAAACACACACTTGAGACACCCTGGCGCACACTGAACCCAACCTTTGCTTGGATGAATCCGCGTTTGCCATTAAAAATGCCAAGTTTTCACAGTCTTCCACCTCCCTACACACATACACACAGTTCACAGACAAATATTCTTCATATTAGAACAGAACTGATTATATATTTCTTTCTCAAACTGTCAACGTAATTTTAGTGACATTCCAATTCCAAGGGGCATGCCCAATTCACAACCGTATTTAAACCTTGGTCTGAGCAAATATGGTGCAAATATCCTCGTTCTAATTGCGGATTTATACAGCAGAGACAAAGAACTTAATTCACAGAATTTACACATTTTTAAGAACGAGTTCTTTACCATTGTTATTCAAATAAAGGTTTAAAGGGAACTGATGTGAACCACGCATTCCACTAACTAAATGGAGTGTCACTTGAAATCATGTCTGCAGTCCCTTAGCGGAGAGAAGGGATTTTCCTGATATGGAGAATATTTGAAATGATATAAATCCTGTAAATGAAAACTGAACATAAACCGACAAATCCCCCAAAACTGTACATACTTGTTAGTGACCCCGACGCAACATAGAACACTATCGTTACATCTCAAATCCATGCCTTTACATAGTTATTTATTAAATACATCCTTCTGCCTGGACCCTGAAACCTAGATTAATATTTTGGGCCCTGAAACCCAAGAAAAAAAGACCCTTGAACATACCTCAATTTATTCTTGAGATTGTTAATCTCTCGGTTCATACTCTCATTGGACTCTACGTAGTCGTCCAATTCACGCTGAGCCTGTAAACAAGACAATGGTTAATCCTGGATTCAAAGCAGTGTTTATGATCCGGATCCAGTAAATTTTACCTCTTGGATCCGGATTCAGCTGGAAAAATATAACCAAAATCATCCGTGTCGAAAAATGACATTTTTAAATGTTCATGTTTTGTGAATGTTTAAGTGTTAGCATAAAAATTGACAAAAATAGATTTTTTAGCAAGTTAAAGAATTATTCATGTGCTGGATGCGGATCTACATCAAAATGAAATGGATCATATAAACTACATGAAGAGACCTAATGCGTTTAAAATTTTAAAATAGGCATTTAGATTTAACTATCTATTAGATTTAAATATTTATTAAAAAATGACAGTCTAATGTTAGTATTCAAACAAATAAGATTTTTGCGAGATTGTTAAAAAATTTGAAAATTAAGAATCGGAATAAAATGTGATCTGAAATATTGACAGAATTTGAAATTATTACAACCAAGATACAGTTAGATTTGAAAATAGATTTCTGACAACTGCGCTAATGATCTCTCATAACAATAAAAAACAATTTCACCGATATTCCTATTTTAAGGGGGTATTTTTCAATCTCGAGATCCAATTGACTGAGTGACATTTTTCAATATTGACTGGCAATTGTACCAATTATTAAAATTGTGTACGTTTACGAAATAAATAAATAAACCCCGACCCTTGGAGTCATTTGAGGTTCCGCAAAGAACTAAGTTTTTAACAATAAATTTACCTTTCGTCTGTGCGCCTTTTCTCGGCTTATCTCCTCCTCGGCCTCGTCCAGTTGACGACGCATTGCCTTCATTCGGGTGTTCGTCTGTAAAACAAATCGTCCGATTAAAATCATCAAATCGTCAAAGGTATTAAATAATAAACTAGTAATTTGTTCTAAAACCAATGAATAAATCAGTGGAAATGATGTAAACAGAAAACCAAAATTGATCAATTGAATAAAATTCATTTTTGCTTGATTTTATTTCTAGCGGGAATTAAATAGCGATTTCATTGGGAAATGAAAAAATAAGTAAAATGTTCGGAAAAATTATTGAAAAAGTTAAGCCAGATAATTTGTAATTTTAAGGAAACCGGATACAGAATAACAGAAATAAATATCATGGAAAAATAATTTTTTTATGGTTAAAAAATAGTAACTGCAGAAATTTAAAATTTAAAGTGGTGTATTTTTTATAGGATGGATCAAGTAACTTGGTCAAAATGATAAGAGTTACAAATAAGTATTAAAAACAATTATATCATTACGCCAAAAAAACGGAATAAATTGTTTAAAAGACAAAAGAAAATAAGTAAAAATTCTAAATACTTAAAAATTAGGAAAAAGGGCAAATAACAAAAATAACGGGTTTTCAAATTACATATGTATTATGTAATATTTTATATCAAAAACGGAAGTTGTTAAAAGTGATAAAAAGCCCTTTTCTCTTCTTATTGAATAAAAGATTATTAAAAGTCAAAAATAATGTTAACATTTTTCATTTTGATGTGACCTGTTGTTCTTTGCTGCAATCATTCTCTCCTGTGCTTCAGCGCTCAGCTGTTCTTCCAGGTTATTCACCTTAGACTCAAGGGCAGCTAAATAAAAATATTATTTTGTTTAGCTTGAAATTAAATAAAAAGCTTTTAGTTTAAAGACAAACTATTACCTATTGCAGCCTTAGCCTTGGCTCTGTTGCTGTTTTCGATTTCTTCCAGTTTTGATTTCAGCTCCTTATTCTGTCTCTCAAGCATCATCTACGGAGAAAAAAATTTGGTTTTAATTTTTAGAAATTGTAATACTTAAAAAAAAACATTTATTCTCCCTTTTACCTTAGAGTTTTCCATTTTCTGTGCAGCTCCGCGCTCTGTGGCCAGCTCAGTTGTAAGCTGCTCTATACTGATCTGAGACTTGCGTGTTCGTTCCATCAGCATTTCAGATTGGGTCTGCTCCTCTTCCAGTTCAGATTCAAGAGCAGCAATGCGAGCATCCAAGCGTCTCTTTTCATCCATGGCGAGAGCACCCTTTCCGCTGCTGTTGGACAGCTCCTCCTGCAGCTCATCACGCTCAGTCTCAGCTGTCCGCCTGGCACGGTCAGCGGCGGAAAGATCCTCCTGTAGTTGGACAAGCTCCGCTTCAAGAGCTTTGATTTTCTTCTCTAGCTCCTTGCTCTGTTGCAGAACATCATTTTTGCTAGAGTGAGCTTCCTCAGCGTCCCTCTGGATCTCTTTCATGGCTTGCTGCAGCTTCTTGAGCTGTTTCAGAGCATCCTCCTTCATCTTAGTATTCATATCCATTGTGGACTCCAGGTCCTTGTAGTCTGTTTCCAGCTTCTTCTTTGCGTTAACAGCTGCCTGTCTCTGTTTTCTCTCCTCATCCAACTCAGCCTCTAGGTCACGAACCTGTTTTGCCATTCCTCGTCTCTTTTCCTCTCCTGCCTCCTCCTTGGCAGCAAGGTCACGTTCAAACTGTGTTCTTAAAGCCTGCATGTTAACCTCCAACCTCATTTTCTGGTCCTCAGTCTGCTGAAGCTCATCCTCTAGTTCTTCAAGCTGAGTTTTTTGCTCGGCAAGCTCTTGCTCCAGTTGCCTCTTAGCTTTCTCCAGTTCATGGACATTCTTGTCTGCGGTTCCCTGTGTATTTGCAAGATCGTCCAACTCAGCTTGCAGCTGGCGACGAGATCTCTCGGACTCATCCAACTGAGCCTGGAGATCCTCAAGTTCACGATGTAGATTGAGCAGCTTTGTCTCTTTCTCACGAGCATCCCGTTCAGCACTATCTCTTTCAGCGCTGATACGTTCTCCATTCAGCTTCTCTTCTGCCAAAATCTTGTCAAAGTTTCTCTGTTTCTTCTCGAGCTCAAGCACCTTGTTTCTGTGACTGTCAAGTTCAATGTTAGCATCATCTAGCTCTTGGGATAATTTCTTTTTAGATTTATCAAGCTTGTCATTGATGGCCTGCTGCTCTTCCATCTTGTGTGTCACCTCCTCAAGATCCTTGCTTTGCTTCTTCCTGATTTCTTCAAGTCTGGCAACAGCTTCACTCTCTTCCTCGGCTTTCCGTCTGGCATCAGCAAGCTGCTGGGAAGCAGTGCTCAGATTCTTTTCAAGTACCTTTGCTCTAGCTTCTTCTTCCTCCAGCTGTTCAAGGATATGCTCCTTCTCTCCTTCCATAGACCTCAGCTTGCTGTTAATAGCAAGCTTCTGTCTGGTCTCCTCTTCCAAATTTGCTACAGTCTCGACAAGCTGCGACTCCAAACCCTCAGTGGATTTGCTGGCCTGGTTAGCCTTTGACTCAGCGATCTCAAGAGCAGAAGCCATGGATTCCATTTCAGCGGTTATCTTTGAAAGCCTCTCTTGAGCCTCTTGGCATCGGGATTCACTTTCTGCTAGTTTAGCCCCAAGTTCACCAGCCTGACTTTCTAGCTGTTTCCTTCTCCTTTCTGCCTCCTGTTTGTTTCCAGAGATTGACTTGAGCTCTGTAGCCATATCTGCCAACTCTGCCTCCAGCTGTGCCTTAGCTTTTTCTGCTGAAGCCTTGGATTTCTTAAGCTGGTCAATATTGTTGTTGAGCTGTGAAATCTCATGGCTGTGTTTGTGTCTCATCTCGGTAACTGAAGTCTCATGGTTGCTTGTCTCATCCTCCAAAGCTTTCTTTATGTTGGCAAGCTCCTTCTCCCTAGCAGTTCTCAGCTCTTGCTGGGCTGCAGTAACATCTAAGCTGTCAAGCAGTTCATTCTTTAGAGCCTCAAGCTCTTCATTCAGGTCTCTCTTCTGCTTCTCTGCCTTATTCCTTGCTTCCTTCTCTGCCTCCAAGTCTTCAACAACTTCCCCAAGTTGAGCCTCTAACTCTCGCAGACTCTTCTGTGCTACTGCCTTCTGTGCTGCCTCCTCATCAACTTTCATCATTGCTGTTGCAACCTCTTCCTCCCTCTTTCCTAGAAGCAGCTGGAGCTCCTCTACCTGCTGCTTCCTCTCGGCAACCTGTTCCTTTACATCATTAAGTTCAGTTTCCATCTTCCTCTTGGCTCTCTCAACCTCCTGTTTCTGCTGGTTGTCCTTGCGGAGTTTATCCTCTAATTCTCCAATAGTGGACTCATGCTTGGCTTTCAGTTTCAGCAGATGCTTAGCCTTCTCCTCCTCCTCAGCTAAGGTTGCCATGACATCACTCAGCTTCTCGTCAAGAACCTTCTTTTCCTTTCCATACTTCTCCTTGTAGTCATCGCTAGCAAGAAGCTGCTCTTCATACTGCTTAATCTTAGCTTCTGCCTGAACTTTCTCAATCTGCAGCTTTTGTCTTGCTGCTTCTTCCTCCTCAAGTTGCTCCTCTAGGTCCTGAACATGTTGCTGCAACTTCTTCTTCTCATCGTTCATCTTAAGAACCTTCTCTTCCTCCTCTTCGATCCTGGCCTCCATATCATGAATGATCTCCTCCATCTCCTGCTTCCTGGCGGCTAATCTCTGCCTCATCTCCTCTGCTTCTCCACATAACTCAATCTCCGCCTAAAAATTTTTTAAAAATCTATTAATTTTATATTTCAGTTTGGAACAAAATAGGGGGGTAGAATTATAAGTAAATTGCAGTATACCAGGTAAGTTAAGGTTTTTCTCCATACAATTATGGGAATCACAGTATAAAAACACAGGAATGTCCATTATGCAAGATGCATTATTAAAATAACGAATAAATGTAATTATTGAACAAATGTGTTTTATTTAAGAAAGAATGACGCCAACCTGGAGTTGTTCTGCTAGAATACTCTTTTCCTCCAGGGCCTGTTGGTACTGCCTGTCCAGGTCAGATACAAGCTTCTCATGGCTAAAAATGAAAAAAAAAAAAATCAATTTTCATATCATTGTTGGCTTGGCCAAGGAAATGAAAAAAGTAACATATTTTCATGATTATAAAAAAGGGGATACAAACTTTTAATAATAATAATAAAATGTTATGGAAGTCACTTTATTTTTTTAATTAAATAAAAGCCTAGAAAAACTAACTGCTTGGACAGCATGATATACCCTTTAACCCTTTAATAAGCCAAATTCAAGGGTAAACCTGGACAATCTATTAGCTGAGCTATTATTATAATCATGGGTTGTTTAAGATTTTATCAGAAAACTCAATTTCTGTAATTGGTGGGGTTAGACCTAAATGGAATGTTAGGAATTGATTGATTGATATTGTTTACAAACCAGATAATACTGAAGAGGTATATCTTGCTATTTTTACCCCAAGGGAGACGGGGGGGAGGGGGGCTACATTTTGCCCCACTGCAGCAATTAAAAGATACCGCTGGAAAAATAAAGGGGTGGTTTCAGCAAACCGTTAGTAAATCCAGTGCTTGGGATCCATTTGAATTTGATGCGGATCCGGTTCCTGGATCCGCACTAAAAAATGGATCCAGATCAGGGTTCAGGTCATAAACTGATTTTACTGATTTGTTGTACATAAGAATTTTCAATTTTTTTCTTTTTTTTTCGCAAAAAGTTATTTGCAGTATTTGGTTAATATTATGCACCATGGATTCTCAATTTTTTGCGGAACCGGATTTTAAGCAATGAGTTAATATTTTACCTTTCAAGCCTTTCAGTGATCTCTTTAAGTTCTTGTTCTTTCTGGATAACCTTCTCATCATTCTTGGTCACCTAGAGTATTTAGGTTAGATGCAGAACACAATAAAACTTGACCATGTCTAAATATCAACTATTTATGATACATCTATGTTGGTTCGCATTGCTTTTGAACAGATATTTCCTTTTTTGTTTGAGTCCGAAAACGTAAAAACAGGCCTTGTCAAAATAATGGTGATGAAGGTAATGTGGGTTTCTTAATATATTGTGGTTACTTTTATTTATAACAAAACTTTTCGACAAAGCAAAATCAATACCAGGGGATATCGAAATAAACTTATCCCTGTGTCTGCTACTCTGCATAACATGGAATTCAAAAATTTTGGACTAAATTAATCGAAATAAAAGTTAAATTGTAAATAGGAATTTTAAAACTATAACACAAATGTTAATGTACTGTTTTCCCTATGCATAATGATGAGGTGGCAAAGAATAATCAAACACGCCCAAAGAGTCATTAAGTTCAATTACCCGACCAGCTATTACAGAACAAGCATTGTATTTTCAACAAACTAAAATTATTAAATCCCTTTTGTGCGAATTTAGCCCCAGGTTAAATTTTGCTGCTTTTTTTGCGCAATAAAATTCAAGGTTTTTGTTCAGTTTCCAGGTTTCAGGTCATTGTTTTATTATTCAAGTCACTTTTAGGGATCCCCAGGCTTCAAGGTATACTCCTCTGGTATGAGTAATAATATGAAAATGTTAGGGGCAACCATGTAATTTAAAATTATGAGGGGAAGAGGTCTAGTTTTTCAGATCGAAAAATTTGCATTTACAGGATTATCCAATTCCCCAAATTGGTGAGACTTGTCTCAAGATTTAATCTTGTATGCCCGGCGTGGTATTAAATATCTCGCATTTAAGTTTACACATGATACGTTTTTACAAAGTTTTCTCGATAAAGACAAACTACAGGGTCACCCAAAATAGATGCGACTTTAAGAACAATAGTACAATCGTCTTTGAAGTCACAACCTTTGTGGGTAACCCTGTAGCTAGTTTAAAATTGTTTGTTTCTGCTGAGTAATATCTTCTTCCTTATTTATTTTCATGTTCCCAGACGTAAAAACTGTTTGTTAGCTTTTAAACCTATCACATAAAATGTGCAATGTGCACGGTCCAGGTGTCTAAAAAACGCTCTGTGCAATGTGCAGGGTGTCTAAAAAACGCTGTACATATATATTACTTGTTTCTTTTTGAAACATCTATGACATTCCTTTTTATCAACATTTTATCAAAATATTTATAACGAAATCTAGTAATTAAGCCAAAAAATTGACAACCAAAAATTGCGCAAATTGCAAAAATTAAACATTTTTGGAAGTAGGTCTAAATATGGTTTTAGTCTGGTATAGGTAACATAAGGCATTTAGGCAGTATGCCTGAGGACCCAGGCAGTAGGTATAAAAGCCCAGCTTTTCAGCATTTAGCTTTAAGTTATGGGCATGGGTTAGTTAAAAAAGTCAGGAAATTTGAGCTTCCTAACAAACATTCTAGTCGGGTTATCTAAAAAAAAACCTATTTAGCCCACCAGGCTAAATAGTGCTAAGCGTTTTTAAGACACCCTTATTATTTTAATGATGATCTTCATATTAACGGGATTTGATTAAGAAGAACAAATAAACTCCTCGGGTTGGAAGATTAATGGTTTAAGATTTATATCATGAACTTGTTGATATACAAGGTCAAATAGGGATCAAAACTAGGAGGATAATTAAATCAAATTTCTCCTAGAACTGGTCGAACTCCTTACAACAATGTAACACTTTTTTCTGTATATTGAGTTATGCAGAAAAATTCAACATGGACGATTTCTGCAGGAATTTTCAATATGGCGGATATATGAAGGAAAATTCAGTATGGCGGATATATGCAGATAAATTCAATATGGCGGATATATGAAAGAAAATTCAATATGGCGGATATATGAAGGAAAATTCAATATGGCGGATATATGCAGATAAATTCAAGATGGCGGTTAAATACAGACAAATTCAATATGGCTGATATGTGCAGGAAAATTAAATATGGTGGAAAATGTGGAAAACCACGCAGCATCTCTTGTTACCTGAAGAAGAGGTTTGACTTTAGTGTAAAGTCTCCACCATTGCCAGTTCCTGAGTTTGAGGTACGCGGCACAGTTCCTCTGCAGGATTCTGATAGCGTTCAGCTGCTGAACTTTCTTCTGATAGTTCCTGAACATCAACGCAATCTTTAGCTGAACATTTTGCAACCAATCTCTTGGAGTGCCGGACAATTCAAATCATTAAACCAAAAAATTGACGGAATGACATGGAAAGACATTACAACAATAAAAATTGGAATGAGAAATATGTAACAATTAAAATATCTTTGCATTCAATTAAATTTTAACCCCCCCACCCCCCCACCCACCCGGAACTCAGGGTGTCCAGGCCACACCGCATGAGGAAAAATGCGGGGGCTTGAAAAATGACACGAGATTAAATTATCCCATTTTGCATGGATCATGTTAAGTGTCAAAAGGAACAGGGCTGAAAAAATATAAATAAATTAATAATTACAAACATCATAATAAATGTAATAACAATTTTTAGTTTTAAATTCTAGTTTTAGAATGATGAATAATATATTCACCCCTTAAACTAAGGCCTATACCCCCAACCCACGTGAGATTATTAACATTCAGAACAAACCTTTTATCTTATTCAGACTTAGGTTCAAATAAAGCTGAAAATTTTAAGGGGGGGGGGGGTCTCAAATTTTGACCAGTTCATAAAAAACAAATTTGATATATCAAATTAAATTAAGGTTGGTGCATGACAAAAAAAATACAATAACTTAGTAGCTACAATACAACAGAAACACTTAAAACTAAGGAGTCAAGTAACAATGTACAAATGAAAACTAAAAACAAAAACAACGAAGAGGATGTGTATTGGGTAAATAAAATCTAATTGAATAAGTATTAGTAAAGTAAAGAGACTGTTAAAGAAAACGTAAAAGTCTGTAGATAATTTTAAGATGAAAATGTATCAATTGCGGATAATGACAACTGGATAGATATCCGCAAGTTAAGGTAAGGACATCAGAGAATTTTTTAATCAAAATACACCAAATTCCGTAATATGCAATGAACTCATTTTCGGTAGCTGTACAATTGAAAATTAGTTGTTTGTAAACAAACGCAACAGAAACTGGACTTGAATCGAAACATGAAATTGAACCCATAGGAAATACACGGACAAACAGACAGACAAAGGAAATATATGTAAATAGAGTTGCGTTAAAATTAGGACCCCCCCTCCCCCCCCCCGTCTAACTGACCTCTTTGCATGGCCTGTTTCCCCCACCTCCTCTCATGTCGAAACTGTAGATATTGTTTCGACATTAGCCTAATTAGATTGTTTGTAAACACTCTGCTAAACCAGTTTTTACCCACCGGAACCGAGTTCATTGTTAATTCCAGAATTCTTTTTTGTTAAATAAGTAAATTCTCTTATGGCCCACCCTTGGATAAATAAATGAAAAGATAGAAGGATAGATAGATAAATGAATAGATAGATGGATAGATAGATTATGAATAAATAGATGTATAAATAATAGATGGATAGACACTAACCTTCTAGCTAGAAGACCTCTGCAGTAAGCCTGGAACTTGACAACAAGATCAGTTATCCTAACATCCCTCTCCTCCTCCAGCTGAGCTAGAACTCCAGCTCGGAAAAATATCTTGGACTGACCAATCCTGAAGAGTCCAGGTTCCAGCTCCAGGGAGTCCAACATCTTCTCACAAGCTTTCTTTCCGTCCATGAACCCCTTAGGGATCACGTTAGGGGTCAACAGCTCATACCTAGGAGAAAATATTTTAATCTTTCTTTTTAGCGGTTGTTAGAATTTGGTGGAAACAATCAATTATAAAAAGAATAAGTTTTCCATAACTAAACAATGCAAGCACAATTTTTTAGGTCACAAAAAAAAGGTTTGAAAAATCTGATTTACATTCGTGAACTAAAATTAAAACATGAATAAACAATTCAAGACTTTTTTTCTTGAAAAAAAGAGACATAAAAGACGACATTCATTGTTCCCCGCATCTTATTTGATAATCGTTAAAACCCAATAAGAAGAAAATTTTAAAGACAAAAATTAATCTTTGCATTGTCATATATACAGAGTTTAAGGTCGGTAATTAAGTCTCTTATTGAAAGATCTGGGAAAAAATGAAAGTTTTGAAAGACACGTTTTATCACCCTTTTAAATACTTTTTACCCAAAAATCATTTATTTACCCCAATTCAGCGAAAAAACCTAAAGAACTCTCGCGCTCCGCGCAAACACACCTCACTTTTATTAAAACGTGGGTTTGGAATGACTTTTTCAAGTAAGTATACAATCCTGCATAAAATGTAACCCTGTATGTATTTATTAAAAAACTACCTTTGTCTGAACTCCTGGAAAGGAACCCTGTTAGGAAACCCCTGTCTGCAGATCCTAATACCCTCAAGCACTCCGTTGCATTTCAACTGATCCAACACCTGAACAGAAAAACATTCAAGGGATTGTTCAACTTTTTGATATGAATGTGATAGCACCATTTCTGTTCGTAAATTTCTCCAAGAGAAGAAAAAAGTAGATATAAGTTGCGTAGTTCCAGAATAAGCTTACAAATTCGGGAACGAGCGCTGCGGCTAGGATAGACGAGAAGGCGGGCGCTGCAGCATTAGTGATTTGAAACGATAATTCGTAAATCGTATCATGTCAGATAAGCACAACAGAATTAAATTTTACCCTCTAAAAAAGTTTTTTTTATTGTAAGATAAATCTTAATTGTTTAAATAATAAATACTTCTTGATCTTGGAAATAAAGAACTTAAATCTATTCAACATGTCGTAAATGTTTTTAAACCCATTTAAAATGATTTAATTCTTAATAATTGATTTAGGTTCAAATATCACCGAGTCAACTAATTTTATAGTCAGCAAAATATAATAAGATATTTTCACACATTAATCATTATAAAAAAATGGAATGAGAAATATGCAACAATTAAAATATCTTTGCATTCAATTAAATTTTAACCCCCCCCCCCCCCCACCCACCCGGAACTCAGGGTGTCCAGGCCACACCGCATGAGGAAAAATGCGGGGGCTTGAAAAATGACACGAGATTAAATTATCCCATTTTGCATGGATCATGTTAAGTGTCAAAAGGAACAGGGCTGAAAAAATATAAATAAATTAATAATTACAAACATCATAATAAATGTAATAACAATTTTTAGTTTTAAATTCTAGTTTTAGAATGATGAATAATATATTCACCCCTTAAACTAAGGCCTATACCCCCAACCCACGTGAGATTATTAACATTCAGAACAAACCTTTTATCTTATTCAGACTTAGGTTCAAATAAAGCTGAAAATTTTAAGGGGGGGGGGGGTCTCAAATTTTGACCAGTTCATAAAAAACAAATTTGATATATCAAATTAAATTAAGGTTGGTGCATGACAAAAAAAATACAATAACTTAGTAGCTACAATACAACAGAAACACTTAAAACTAAGGAGTCAAGTAACAATGTACAAATGAAAACTAAAAACAAAAACAACGAAGAGGATGTGTATTGGGTAAATAAAATCTAATTGAATAAGTATTAGTAAAGTAAAGAGACTGTTAAAGAAAACGTAAAAGTCTGTAGATAATTTTAAGATGAAAATGTATCAATTGCGGATAATGACAACTGGATAGATATCCGCAAGTTAAGGTAAGGACATCAGAGAATTTTTTAATCAAAATACACCAAATTCCGTAATATGCAATGAACTCATTTTCGGTAGCTGTACAATTGAAAATTAGTTGTTTGTAAACAAACGCAACAGAAACTGGACTTGAATCGAAACATGAAATTGAACCCATAGGAAATACACGGACAAACAGACAGACAAAGGAAATATATGTAAATAGATCTGCGTTAAAAGTAAGTTAGGATTGGTGTTCCTAGAATATAAATATTATTAAATCTATTTATTTGGTGCAATAATAAGAAGTTAGGATTGGTGTTCCTAGAATATAAATATTATTAAATCTATTTATTTGGTGCAATAATAATAAGTTAGGATTGGTGTTCCTAGAATATAAATATTATTAAATCTATTTATTTGGTGCAATAATTAGAAGTTAAAAATGGAAACCAATAGCAATGTCTTTTTATTTTAATGTGCACGGGGTCCTGTATTTTGAAGATCCCCCAGTCACTGAGGAAACAAAATATAGGGTGAAAAGAAACAGAGATAAAAACTGTAAAATTTGAGTTCTACTGGCACGCACCCCTCCTTCAGTGTCAGAACCATTTTTTCTGAATTCAAAATGTTGACGAGAAGAGGGGGAGGGTGGGAGTTATAATTTACCTGAGAGTAACCATAAGCTTGGACAGCTGTTCCTTGTAGAGCTGGGAAACCGTTCTGAACATCCCTTTCCTCGTTACACGACCAAACTGGGTATCCGTCATAGCCTGCTGGGCCATACCCACTATCTCAGCTGTAAAGAAAAACAATTCAAAGTAAAAAAGAAAAACGAATTGTAGACGTATTTTCAAGTGACCCTCTAATTATTGAGTGTAACATGTTCTGCATAAGGATGAATGAAAAATCTTGTTTTCCAGCTAATTTTTTCTTTTTTTGTATTGTTGGTGACTTTCGGATATAAGCAGGCATAGGAAAAAGTAAAATTTGAACATGTTTTAAAATACCTTTCCCAGATAAAGGTTTAAAGGGTGTCGTAGTGAATGGGACATGCCGCTTTATAAACTATAGCAGGTTAATAAAAGAATAACGCTTACAGTCCCTTTAAAGAGTGCCATCTGCTATAGACATCCACGATTTAATTTCAGTACATTATCAAAGGTTAATAATAGTGTGTCTCAGTCCCTTTCATACAAAAAAACTAAATTTACTGTAAACGGCTGAGAACATAAATTTTATAATTAAGTGTGAAAAAAGAATAACCAGACTAAGCAGTAAACAATCTACAATATGCAATACATGTCCTAGATATTTTTGTTATTTCAAAGAACATTAAAAATGTCTATTTTTTGTTACAAAGTTTTTTAATTTTATGTGTTTAATGCACAAAGAACAAAACATATCTCTGAAGTTGGGGAAAAATAAGGCAAACTGAACAAAAAACGATTAAAAAACCGAAGTATTTTATCAAATTTAGCGATTTTAGGAAATATGAATGTTTTTTATATTCATTTACACCCCTGGAAATTCTAGTTTTTAAATTCCACGAAACTACAGGATTAAATTACGAGAGCTAAAAAAAAAAACTCGATAAAACTGTTTGAAATCATAATACTAGAAAATGTTCCAAACTTGACAATATGGCGGATCGTAAATCTTGATGCTGTCGTGGATTTCAAAGTCGTGAATCATGTGGAAACAAAGGGAGGAGACTTGAATAAGGAAATGTTGTGAGGTGGAGGGGGGGGGGTCCTTGATGAAAATTAACAGGTTAAATGTTACTCTTCCCACGCTATAAGGCCTGTAAGAGAAAGGATTTGTAAAACCAAGGAGAAAGGGGAATGTAGATAAGAAAAAAAAACAAGAGAACTAAAATCAAAGAAAATAATAATAAATATGTATAATCCCTACACATTACAACACAAGTCCTTTAAAGTGCGACAAATTTTAATGCTACAGGGTGACAAAATAAACTGCTTAAGGGTCAAATCACAGGATGCAGATTAACTTACCTCCTTCAAACCAGGGGGGTTTTATACTATTCCCCCCATATGGAGGTGCTTGCAGAAAAATAGTGATATTAAACAATTGTATTTTAGAATTTTTTAGTACAGCTTGTACAGTAGCTTGTCGAGCTTAAAATCCGTAGCTGAAAAAAACTAAAAATGCAGATATTTTTTTATACAAATAATCAAAGAGATTTTATTAAAAACAAGACTCCTTCTGAAAGTTTGAGTCCCCAAACAAAAGAAACAGATTCGGAAATCCAGATCCGCCGGATATAGAAAATATTGGCAAAAAAATGAACCGAATTCGAACCAAGCACATTAATAATGTGATGTGACATTCTAAATAATAAAGCTCTTCGCTCATATATTCGATTTTAAAAAATTCTACGGGCAACACCGGGCACTTAGCTAGTCTTAAATAAAACAAGATACTTACCATCTTTCCAGATATGGCAGACGAATGGATCCTGACTGGCCTGAAGATACTGAACAATATTCTCGTTGAGGGGATCCATGTTCTTCATTAACCACTTCTCCGCAGAGTAGTTCACGTTCCCGGCGTAGTGGACGATGCAGAAATCGGCCTTGTTCTAAACAAAATTATCCTTTTAAAGGGAGTGTTCGTGAAAATTCTGTTTTAGAAATACAGATTGTTTCAATAAGAATTAGAGAAATTAGTTAATATTGGACTATAACGAGGGAGGGAACCTCGGACGCCATAAGATAAGTTACAAAAGGTACTATTGTGAATCAGTCATGGTCCTTTTTTAAGGAGGTTCGTATGAAATAACAAAATTTCATTTTACTAACCTTGAAGTCAGTTTTGCTGAACTTAGGATGCTGAGAGTGGGAAGACATTAGCTTCTCCACGAAGGACTTGTCGGTGGCCTTCGGGAACCAGCATTCCTCATCGACCAGAGCCATGATACCCATAGGCTAGAATACAATTCATCAACAAATTGAAATAACATTCTAAAATTATCATTAACAACATTAATTTTTTAAAGTGAAAACTTTCACATCACATCACATCACATCACATCACATCACATCACATCACATCACATCACATCACATCACATCATAATCAAATATATCAAAAATGTTATATCGTCCTAAATCTATTTCAAGATTTAAGCATCCTTTAGCCATGAAAGATAAGGACGGTTATATCTAAAATAAAAATATTTCCATGTTTGGATTGGAGGACTGTTTTCACGCCAAGAGCGTGAATCCCTCTTTCCTTAAAAATACCGAAGCATATCCATATAAGATTTATAAAGGACCATCACTGTTCAGGGGCTTTACAACTAAAAAATCATATTTTTATGAAACCCCCCCCCCTGATAACACACACACCATATGAGAGTATTGGAGGGGTCGGGGGGGGAGAAGGGGAGGAGTATATCAGGCAGTCTGATAATCGATGACTTGGTTGGGTAAAGGTTAGGTATATTATACAAACAAGGAAAACGAGGGCAGAATGGAACTAAAAACGTTAGACCTGTTTTTATGTTTATAAACGGGATCAATTTACAATGTCTTCAATATACAATTTCTATGATTGTGGATGAAGTATTAAGGTTTGTGTGCATGGTTGAGGGGGGAGGGGATGACAATAAACATAAGAATTCTCTTCTTTGCATGGTTAATAAATGTCAAGTAATGGTTTGAATTCGCTCCACCCACATTAACCTTACTTCATGCATTGTACAGTGTACGCTCAGTAGGAGGAACACTGAACATCTTAAACTTAAAAACTGAACAGTGAAGTCTGAGAGGAAAAAACTGAACACTGAACATTTAACACTAAATACTGAACACTGAAAAGTGAACTCTGAACATATTACACTGAACATTGAAAAGTTAACGGCGAGCAGTAAACGTTGAACACTAAGCGCTAAACACTGAACACTGAACATTTGCCTCTTCACACTTCACAGTAGAACACTGAACATACTGAACATACGAACCAATGAACAATCAACACTACATTAATTCTATTCCCAATCAAGAGAATTCTTGCTTTTCTTTATCATATGTTGTTTCTGTGTTTTGATGAGGATCTTCCATATTCGGTGCATCGACTATAATCAGGCTTCAAGATATTTTGCTGAGTAACTCTCTAGTGTATTGACTCCTCCCAAATATTGCAAGAAACCCACGTCAATTCAGCTTTTACAAATCATTCTATGTATGTAGTCTTTTTTAATAACATTCCTCCTCTCTAGCCTAAACCTTTTCTTGCTGTATCATCTCTTTAATCTCCGTATGAGCCCTTACTANAGTCGACTAACTACCCCCCCCCCGGACGTAAAATGTTCAGATTTATATGAATCCAATGTTTGTCTATGGCCTTCAGCATCCGATAAGATTCATCATTTGTCTTGTTGAACAATATGTACAGCGTCGTCAGAAACATCCTTTCCCGCATTTTCTAAAACATAGAGTTGGGAACATTCTTTTCCCGCATTTCCGAGGTTCCGGATTATAAATATTTAATATTTAATCCTCTCTGTCCCTATTTAGACTTAGTAATAAGGAGTAGTAGTTGAACCACTTCTATGCGGTTCAACTACGCATTACTACTCATTAAATCTGGTTCAAGTTTCAATATATTTTCTCCGTTAAATTTGACCATCTTGGTAAGAGCAAGACACGTTGCACGGCGTTACATCGTTACCATGATTTTCACAACGTTGAGGCATGCAGGCATTTCATAGCTCACAAGCATGGTCATGCTTCCATTGCTAAATTACAGGCAAAAACCGGAGTTTGTATGTATGAGAAAGACCCTGAGATAGATAGATAATGGATAGATGAGTTAAGCAGCTAGAGGATGCACGAAGGTCATAAGGATCGGGGTTCATCCAAACCAAACCCATTCTACAGGGTGTCCCCAAAAATTATGGAAACCTAGAGAAAACATCAGAATACATCTCTGGTTTTAAAATTTGATACATGGAGTATCAAAAGGTATCATTACTTTAGAGCTTTCCAAAATGAGCCCAAGCTACTTTTCATCACAATAATTAAAAAATATATTCTTAGACAATTTTATATTTTACTTGATGAATATAATTCTGGACAAAATTCTCAATATCTCCGCTAAAAGACCAGGCAGTTGTATGTAATAGAATGTAATATTGTGATCACAAAAAAGCCCTGCGGTTCAAAGCGTTTCCATTTTTTTTCTACACCTGTTCACAAACCAATGATGAAATTGAACGATGCGAATCGTTGGTTTATGTGAGATACCTTAATAAGGATGAATAAACACTATTGATACCTTGAAACCCCCATATTCGGGAATCAAATTCTGTTCCATATTATACAAATCATAATATCAAATAAAGGATGTATCAGGGTCTTATAAACATTGATTATACCCGCCCCCCGCCTCCCCCCGGGAAAAGGGATTTAAGAAAAGTTTCTTATTACTTTTCCTGGAAACTTCATTTATTTCCCAAATTCAAATAAAACCCTAAAAATGGATAGCTAGCTTTCAGAATTTGCATATTTTATTTGAAGTAATTAACTTACTTTGTTCGTACGCATGTGATAAGGTTTATACTGCAATAAAAAATGTACCTTTAAATTAAAGATTTTTCTTAAATGCTGCATCAACGAGAAGTAATTTAGCAGCTATTATGCAAGGCTCAGGAGAAGGGGGGGGGAGGTAGAATGTGTACTGCATGAATGTTGCATGGCTACGGAATACTTGTTGCAATATGTAATATGGGCATATTCAAGCCTAGGGGCAAGGCCATAGCCTAAGTGCAACCAAATAGTTACATGTTGTAGGATACGAGATTTTAACTTATCACAAACTAGCTTGTGAATCCAGCGAAGCCCAGAGGAGTCATAGTTAGTCCCAACGATTACCCGCCCCTTGTAGTAAATAACGATTTTAGCTATTTTTCCCGATAAAAGTCGACTAACTAATCTCAAAACCAAACTAAGAACATTCCCGTGGATCTCCCAAATTACCCAACCAAAATTTGGGGCAAATAAGTTCAGGGGTTCCGGAGTTATGATCGGACAAACAAACAGACAAACAGAGATTACAACTTTATATAGATAGATAGATAGATAGATATGTATTTGCTTCTTTTGTTGTTCTCAACCCCCTTTTAGACAGCCCCCTAGTTTCAATCAACCTCCATTTAGACAGCCCCCTAGTTTCAATCAACCTCCATTTAGACAGCCCCCTAGTTTCAATCAACCTCCATTTAGACAGCCCCCTAGTTTCAATCAACCTCCATTTAGACAGCCCCCTAGTTTCAAATCAACCTCCATTTAGACAGCCCCCTAGTTTCAATCAACCTCCATTTAGACAGCCCCCTAGTTTCAATCAACCTCCATTTAGACAGCCCCCTAGTTTCAATCAACCTCCATTTTATGAAGCGAAAATACCAGAGTGACAACGATATCCTATCATCTGATCAAGTAACTCTATTGTTTCTGAGATGACCATGCTGAATATCCAATAATGAATTCTTGATCGGCCAAGGCATCTCAGGCTACCGTTGTGAATTAGACGTGCCATTCTATAAACGGAGGGTACCTTTAAATAACGCCTACAATCCCTTAAACTCATTTTATTCTTGATGTTCGGATTTTGTAGATTAAAAGTTGACAAACATATATCTTCTTGTATTCTACATTGTTTAACTAATTTGGATATTCTTTACATCTGTGCAGTTACTGCCTGAAAGTCGGGGATGGTGGATTGGTCTTCATGCCGAAGGCCAGATATCGTCTAATCTGAAAGCCTTCATCTATCAAATCTTTGGCCTGATTGTCACGACTCAAATGTTATTCTAGATCGATATTTTGACTCACATACTAACAAAATTTTATGAGAAAATAAGTTTTCAAGCATCTGAGGAATGTAGATTGTAGAGTTTATCCCAGTTCTAAGAAAGTGTTATAGTTATAATAAAATGTTTTATAATTATATTAGTTTCCAAACATCTCTACTTGAGTGAGATGCTTAAGATCAGGACTCGGTATATTTTTTTGCCATTTTTTGCTCATCCCCTTCAGAATTTTAAAGGTTTAAAATTCAAAACTTAATGTTCAACACTGTCCAATCCTGTACCTTAACGTACTGTAGCGTACCGTACTACAATGCNAGGGTTAAATCCCCTCGTTTAATTAATAGGTTCTGGCCTTTAAGGGAAGATTTATCCGAATATAATAAATAAAAACTTAAAATACATATTAAGTTACTTACTTAAATCCGACCAACTCTTTTCAGCCCCCCCACACACCCAAAACACCTGAAGCATGTATCTGTGCTAGCGTGCCTTTTTTCTTGTGTGTGCTTGTACAAGCGTGAGTTTTGTCTGATGTGTGGAGTGCGTTTTTTTAGTGTGTGTTGTGCTGATGTGTTTGTGCTAGCGTTCAATTTTCTAGTGTATGTTTGTGCTAGTGTATGTTTGTACTAGTGTGTGTTTGTGCTAGTGTGTGTTTGTAGTAGTGTGTTTGTGCTAATGAGTGATTATGGTAGTGTGTTTAAGCTAGTGTGTGTTTGTAGTAGTGGGTTTGTTCTAATGCGTGATTATGGTAGTGTGTGTTTGAGCTAGTGTGTTTGTGCTAATGCGTGATTATGGTAGTGTGTGTTTGTGCTAGTGTGTGTTTGTAGTAGTGTGTTTGTGCTAATGCGTGATTATGGTAGTGTGTGTTTTAGTAGTGTGTTTGTGCTAATGCGTGATTATGGTATCAATACAATACAATACAATACAATACAATACAATACAATACAATACAATACAATACAATACAATACAATACAATACAATACAATACATTACAATACAATACAACCTGTGAGAATCAAACCAAATTATCAAATCAAATAATTGAACTAAAAATCATTAAAAAAAGGACACTCATCATCCAACATGGATTGCATAAAAGCCAAAAAAAAAACATTTTCATTAAAATCTTACCTTCTCGATCAAATCAATAGTTGGCTGCAGATCAAGTCCGAAATCGATGAACTTCCACTCGATTCCTTCCCTCTGATACTCTTCTTGCTCAAGTATGAACATCTAAAAATGTAAAAAAGTGTAAAAAGTTAAAAGTTAAAAAGTTAAAAAATGTAGAAAACAGTCCAGAATTACTAATATTTCAAACCATGAATAATGAATAGTCTTCAGTTAGAGATTCACAACATCAGATTGCAAATATTTACGAATAGGATCCAGAACAATGGAGCCAAACTATTGCGGCTTATTAGCACTAATTTGAACATCTATTTATGGAGTCTCACTAAAAGGTCAATTCATCAAACTACGAACTAATTAGTCCAATAATCAGTGGATTAATAGATTGCTAATTAATAACAGTCTGTTAACTACTTCATAATAAATAATGGGTACGTAATACAACGTGGCATTAAAACAGCAATACACATTAACTTTATTTAGCTGAATGAATAATTTTCGGGTAAAAAAATCATTGAGGATAAAAATTTTGTCAATTACTTCTCCACCTAAAATCTTCAAAATCAATTTAACTATCAGCATTCAAATTGGTAATGAAATAAAAAATACTGCTTACAGTGTGGTTGAAAAGCTGCTGCAGCTTCTCATTTGTGTAGTTGATGCAGAGCTGCTCGAAGCTGTTCATCTCGAAGATCTCGAACCCAGCAATATCGAGAATACCGATAAAACTTGCCCCCTGCCTCTTGGTACGATCCAGCGAACGGTTAATCCTCGTCACGATCCATTTGAACAATCGCTCGTAGGTGGCCTTGGCAATCGCTTCGATGGCGAATTCGACCTGCTCCTTAGTCTGAGCCTTGGTGACATAGTCGCGGCCCACCTTGATCCTGGGTTTCAGGAACGCCTTGGTCAGGTCAGTGACTTGGATGCCAAGCAAATGTGCAACCTTAAACAAAATTGAATTAATATCAGTGGAAATGTTCAGTGAACGAATCTAAATCATATTCCAATTGTCGTCTTCGTATTCTACAGTTTCATGGTGACTGGGTAGTGAGTGAAGTGAATAAAGTATATATTTATATGCAGCTTCAATTTAAATGCAGCTTAATATGAATGCCTTATCTGCTCTGCCTTATCTTACCTATACAATAATGCATTGTTCAGAACAGGTCTATATACAATAAAGTACAGGGTGTCCCTCATCATATTTGATCGAGCATAGCTCTATATTGGGGTTTTTGAATGAAAATATATAAACTTTTAAGATTGAGGGATTTTACGACATTGTAATTAATACATTCATAATTAAATACAGGGCTCTTTCTAGTATTCTTTTGTACAATGTACATATTTGGCAATATGATATGAGGCACTCTGTACCTGTACAATGTACAAAAACAAAAAACTATCAAATTCTCTAATCTATGTACAACATAAACTCAAAACAACTAAGAATCATACAACATTGGTTTCCGTTCACACAAGTAGATAAAAGCGTTCATTTGCTGTTTCTTGTTATTTCTATTTTCATTTAAAGATAATAAAAGCAAAATTTGAGAAAATTAGAAAACATTCCCAAGTGCTTCTCTGAATCCTCATTTTTGTGCGTAACACAATTAGAGATACGCAGAAAATCTTAGGAGTCAAAAATGAGATTCAATTCTCAAATATTTAGTTAAAAGGTGTGTGGGAAGGAGGGGGTGGGAAGGAGGAGGGGGGAAGGATTAGGTGCTAAAATAATGCATAGCGAGGTGTATTATTTAAATTCTTAAATATTTGTAAATACATCACCAGATCTCTAGCTAAAGTTAAAATAATTTGCATAATAATACACTTATAACAAAAAATATCTTTGAAACAAAAACGGGAGGGGAGGAATGTTTTCTTAAACCACATAGATTTACTAAAATATGGATAGAGATTCTCTATGAGTGAATGATCAAAAAAATTTATCAAAAAAGATTGTCAACCTTGGATGAGAGGGTTGGGGCCGCTTGTCAAACAAAAATATATTCTTAAAATCTCTACAACCTTAAGAAAAAAAGACCGGGATTTTTTGTGCGTGTGCACTGTGCATAGTTTCAATGAATGGAAGTGAGATAAATGTTTTACGATTTAATGTTTGTTATCAAGATTCGGCCATATTTATTCTAACGGAGTCCCAAAGAAACATGGGCTTTTATATGAAAATCAGGACTAGGTAAACCTTCTTTAACCCCCTCCCACCCTATCAGGTTAGGATGGAAAGTATCGATTTCTTAAAAATTCGCAAAAAGTGGAAAATCAATTTTGCGCTTTAAAAAAAAGACTGGGAAAATATTTTCTAAAAATCGTTTTTATTTTTGAGGCTCCCTGTATTGGTGAAAAATTCTGAATTCAAAGATCCATTCAAGTTGTCGGAGGGTCGTGTTGTTAAATTACGTTTACATGTAAATTGAAAACTATCCATTCAATTGGGGCTTTAGCAATCTACACTTAACATTTCAAATACACTAACATTTCAAATACACTTATCTAAGTCTTTCAAAATAACTGCAACTAATGTCATTCAAAAACCATCCACGAATACATTTTTTTATTTTCATCTCTTCAAAGTGTTTGCGATTCATAACGGTACCATATAAGCCTTTATCTGACCAACAATATGGAAGATATTGTCGTTTTTTTTAAAGTGCTAAATTTTGACAATTTCTTCCTTTGTTTATGTAGAAAAATCATCATTCGAAAATAATCAATTTTCAAAGAGAATAACATGGATATCTTATTCATTCTTGATCGAACAAGGCGCTAAAAGGTACCATTGTGAATCTAACATGCAAGTCAAGGGTTAATTGAAATTCCGTAAGAGTCTCTTAAACCAATGATTTACCTTTTGTGCTACAGTGTTATCTGGTAGAGTTGCTTGATCTGTATTCCTCTCCTGCTTGAACTCCATGTTGCCGAAGAGCAGGGCGGCGGAGATCACACGGAACACGGAGGTCAAGTCATCGTCCGACATACCCATCACCTTCAAGACAAAACATTTAATAATTTTCGTTTACAGATTTACAAGAAACATCAATACAGGAATACACGTTAAAACCATGAATGAACTGAGGCCGAATTTAAAGAATTTGAGCCGCGGCTCAAATATGGTTGGTTTCACTTAAAATTGTATTACATTTTTCAAGATTTAATCCGGCGCTCAATTTAAGCCGGTTTTTTACGGATTTGAGAAGCGGCTCAAATTTACTAAATTCTGACACTGGAAATACAAAGGGGAATATATCACAACTTCCAGGTCCTTTCCCACAAAGGTTGACCTAACAGGGAATAAAAAAGTGTGAAAGGAGAGAGGAAGGAGAAAGAAAAAATATGGTATCCTCGAATACCAGAGGAAAAAAGGAAAAAATTCAATTCAGTTTGAATTTTCTAAAATATTTTCTTGAAATTTCTTGAAAGTTAAATGAGGGAAAAGAATTAAAATTTTCTTGAACTTTCTTCCCCTAAAGTTTCTTAAACATCAAAAGCATGAAAAATATAATTATCATTTAATTTTCTTCCACTAATCTTCTTAAAATCGAAAGATGGAACAGAATTTGATTTATCTAAGTTTGAAAGAACACCATCAGGTTGAAAAAATATAAGAAATATTCGAGTTTAGTCACTTGGTAAAAGTGGATAGTAAGTTTTTGCATTATACAACTTCCAAAATGATTTGAAGAAAATGAACAATTAGGAAGGGGAGGGGGGCTGCTTAATAGCTTCACCCTTCAAAAACATTATGTGCAAACCTTTAGAACAGTTCAAAATATGTTAAAATAACCTATAAGAGTTTAGCAGTAAGAGAGAATTTGAAATATATTTTTATTTGAGGTTGCGTCAAGTTTTACACCAAAATATCAATTAAATTTTTTTGTAATAAACTAAATACACAGGTTCTTTTAAATAAAAGTAAAACTATTTTTGCTATATATATACTCGGATAATGTTTATATATATTTTTGCTATATATATACTCGGATAATGTTTATATATTTTTTTGCTATATATATACTCGGATAATGTTTAAAATGGGATTTGATAAATTAAAATGGATTACTCAAAATAAAAAAAAGGAAACAGCCAATTTATGTGCAGATTAGTCAATCTAATAAAGGAATTGGCCAATTTAATGAGAAGATTGGTCAAGCAAATGAGTGAATTGGGCAGGCTAACGAAGTAATTGGCATTTCTAGTAAGTAAATTGTTCAACCTTACGAAGGAATTGACCACTTTAATTAGCGGATTGGTCAAGCTAATGAATGGATTGGTAAGTTTAATGAGTGTTTTGTCAAGTTAATGATGGAATTGCCAATTTAATGAGTGGATTGGTCAAAGATATGAAGGAAAAGGAAAATCTAATGATTGTATTTAACAAGTTAATTAAGGATGTGGCCAATTTAATGAGTGGATTGGTCAAGGATATGAAGGATATCTAATGATTGTAATTAACAAGTTAATGAAGGATGTGGCCAAGAATGAAGGTGTTGCTAAAGGATTCAGCTTGGAAACCCCGAAAATGTATATTTACTCATTGGTCATTAATCAAATAAGGAAGACTGAATCCTTCCGTTGATACTTTTATTTACCCAAATGATGACCAGGTATCTATTTATTTTTACCAAGTCTGTTTGTTTGCATCAATGCCAATTCACATAACCCCAGGGATTAGGGAAGGTTTGAGGCCGGTCGAAATTTAAAATGTTTGCCAGGAGAGAATGTCATATTTAAGATTTTCTATTGAAAATCTATTATTTAAAAAAAATAATCTGCAAAAAAAAAAATATATAAGAAAATGGTAACTCAAGCTTTTTCTCGCTAGTGCTAAAATCAAGGTTTTGTTAGCAAGCTGTTAAACGTATATGCTGCCTGGTTAGGCTTGAAACCTAATGTCAGTGTGTTTAAGGCTAATAGATGTGTATTTAAAGAACTAGACCGCATGCAACTACCAAATCTGGATAAAAAACTTTTTGACTGAGTTTCCTTTTGCTCATCCCATAACTTTATATTAATATAATTAACATTCTAGACAAGGAGTTTCGTCTAAGCTATGCAAAAGAAATATCGTTGACAACAAAAATTAACTTGGATCTAAAATGGTCTAGAATTCAAGTTCTCAATATTTATTATTTATCAAAATTAAAATATTCGGTTATTTTTGACAATTGCACAAATATAGTTAAAATATTTAGAATACGGAAAATTTATAATCGGTTCCAATCACGTGATACAGCTTGTGATATGCAAATGCATGAGAAAGCTTGGAACTAACCATAAGGATACAAAAGTAGTAAAATCAGTCGAACCTAGTTCAACAAATTCCTCATAATTAATATTATATTCGAGGATCCACATTAAAAAGTAAAATCAATAAGTACCTTCATAGAGGCGAGAGTAGACTGGAATTCTTCTGGGTCATCTATCCCGGGCACCTTGACTCCGCCGGCGGTCATGAAGGCGTAGTTCTTAGGATCCTCCAGGATAAAGTCAGCTATAAATACAACTCATTAATATGATTTTTTTTCAATAAAAAATACTGTGAACGTAAAACAAAGTGACCTCAAAAAAGTTAAAGTTTAGTTGTTTGATTCAAAGAAAGGAATGAAATTAAATAAAAAATATTTAAAGTAATTATTTAAAACAAGAAGTATTTGTTAATTTCTAACTTACTTAAACAATGTGATTTATTACAGTTAACATGATTAATATTGGGTGGAAAATTAAATGTATAATAAATAATTTAGGGCATTGTGTGTCTGGTGATGATGCAGTGTGTGTTAAGCTAGTGTGGTTAAAAAAGATATTCGTGTGTTTATCATAAACAAAAATATTAGTGTTAAAGGTAAAAAAATGTGTTAATTAAATGTATTTTTGAAACAGTTCGTAAGACATAATACACTAAAAGAAAAAATGTGTACGAAAGTAAATAATGTATTAAAAAAAATCACATGAAAGAAAAGAATGTGTTAAAAAGAAAAAAGGTGTAAAAATTAAATGAGTATGTTTAAATTCAAAGAATGTGTGTATATCATTTTGAATATGAGGGGCCAGCCTTAAATTCCTTAAACAAGGGTCGGGCAATGAAAAAAATCAAAATAAATAAACAATAAATATTATTTTGAAAAAGTCAAGATTTAAAAAATTTATTTTAAATTTGATGAAGAATAGTTCCCCTGGTAGACTTGTGACCCTACGATGTAAGGGATCAAGGATGCTTCATCCGTGTCTCTGCTTCCTCAATACCTTACCAAACCAAACCAAACCAAAATAAACCAAAATAAACCAAACCAAACCAAACCAAACCAACAATACTAGACCAAACCATACCAAACATATGCAAACCAAATAAAACCAACAAACAACCTTCTTAGATTTTGCCTTTTGCTACTTGTTGCAAATCGACCTTTAGTTGAAAAGTGAAAATGTATTTTTTTGTCCATATGAGCTCTGTTGCCAGCTTACTTAGCTGAATTTACTTTACTTTAAAATTAAAAAATTAAAAATGTGTCATTTATCAAATATTTACGATATCTATATAAATAAATGATGCTCTATGTAAAATATTAAAATCAGAATGTACGTGTTTTTGATAGATATATATAGTTTACTTTGCTGTTTTTGTACTTTTTGATCAATAAAAAGATTTGAATAATAACAAACAACCAAATCTTATGAACATTTAAACAAAATAAATAAAATTGTTTCCAAATGAATAGACAGAGGAGATAGAAATGATGTTGATAAAACCATTAATGCAGCGTACCAGATTGATTTGATAGGTTTTTGAATGGAAACCATCTGTTTTATAGATTAACCTACTTACTAATTTAACAAAAACAATGAACATATTTTATACAATTTTATCGGTATTTTAAAATAATTGTATAATTTTTTTTTTAAAATTCGCAGTCAACTTAAAATTTGATGTACATTGTACATAGTGTACAATGTAACGTGAGTGTATAGTTTTTGTACATTGTAAAACAGTGAAGTTAAAGTTTATAAAAAAGTCTGAGCTGTCGAGGCGAGATATCTTTTTTTTTGCTAAATGATGTGGGAGTTGGGACAGGAACAGACAATAGACAAGGAGGAGGGAGATTTGGAGATGAGGCCGGGGGGAGGACAAGGGAAGAGAAGGGGGAGGGGTGAAGATTGGAAAAGAATTAATGACGAGATTTTGTTGCAAGTGAAGACTTACACTACACAGTAGATTTTAGGACTTAATATTTGAGGCATTTATAGGGTTGATGAAGGTATACATACATTGTATTTGTATATTATATATGTAAATAAAATACATATACTATTAACATGTGTGTGGGATGTTTATTGAGTGAGATACTATTAGAATGATAATTATTCATCTTCATCTAGATTAGGTATTGAGCTGAAGTCTCTATATCAAGATTTAACATCTCGAACCTAACCCCCCCTCCCTCCTCCTTCACTACCCCCGTATCCTCCTGAACAACTAGGATGTAGATTCGAAGATCCGGATCTAGGTAAAAAACAATCAATTCCGGATCCAGAGGGGTTGCTAAGCTGAGTGTTCACTTTTAGTTTAATGTACCCAAACCCTGGTTATTTAACTCAAAGGGTTCAAAGGGTTGATTTTAAAAAGAATTCAAAACTTATTTACTACTCTCTTGGACATTTAAAAATCTTACAAATCTAACCAAATGCATTTCAATTTCATCTCTGACAAAAAGTTTGAATTCTTTTTGACGTCTAACCTTACATTTGGTCGGGGTCAACAATTTTAGGAAACCCCTTGAAACTCCAATGTTTGACCAATTCAAAGCTGTATAGTAGGATATGTTAAGAACCCCATCGTATTAAATTAATGGCTATTTTAGGATTGATGAAGGCGTAAAAAGATAAAAATGTTTTATAATGATTTCTTATCTGGTTTATTACTCTAAAAAAGTCCAAGTTCTATATACACTAAACTGAACACATCCATATCAGATGCAATGTATTGTTGAGATTTTTTGCCTCACCCCTCAGTCTGTTTTTGCAGCACTGAAGAAGGTGGTTTAAGTTGTATGTATTTGTATCAAATAACCTAAAGGACTCTCTATGTAATTTCAAGAAACCTTCCATAACAGTACACTTGATAGCGTAGTTGAATAATTTGAGGAGTTCTTTTAATATTACAATTTGTGAGAATGAACAACCAGAAGATCTTCCCTCATTTTTACGACTACGGTTTTGAAGGTAGCGCTGTGAATTAGTCTTGTAACTAAATAAATAAAGAGTCAATTGAAATTAAGTCGACTGTCTCTCCATTCTCATATAGAGCGTATGACCCTTTTTCCTTGATTTAAATTTTAGTTTAAAAAATTAATTCTTTATTTTTTAAGTATGCAGTGTTTCTCTTATTCCTCAATATTAAACTTTTTTTTGCAATCAAAAACAAACTTAGAATAGGTATGGAGTATACTTTGTTTATGTTCGCAACAGATGCTAGCGGTATTATTCTTATTTGAAGGAAATATTTAAAAATTCCATAATAGGTCCATCTATGTCCGTAAATTCTAGCAAAAATAACAATTTGTCCATAAAATATGCCACAAAAAGTATTTTACTCCATTGAATCTGTCAAACATAGTATCTTAGCCCATAAAAACGTAGATCGTAGACCATAAAATCGGCCACAAATAGTATCCAAGTCTGCCAAAAATGGCTTTTTAGTCCATGAAACTTGCCACAAATAGTATCTCACTCTTTAAAATCTGCCACAAATTGTAACTTAGTCCAAAAAATCCGCAACAAAATGCAGACGACAACCTGCCACAAAATCTGTGAATAAACCCAAGCGCTAAAAGGAAACAAACTGTCAGGAACAAAAAGAGTTCTTTTCTTCTATTCCTTAAATGTGAAACCGAAATAACAACCCTCAAGTTTTTTTTAATTTTTAACCATTACCTGACATGAAAATGTGTGTGCCTATAAGATATTTCTGTGCGCGCATATTATGCGCATAAAAGTATCAATTAAAACTGCATATTTTCAACTTGGTAAAAAATCTTTTTATGTCGAGCCAAACATTCATCCTTGTCTCGCCAGGACTTCAATAATGTTTAAAGGGACTGTAAACGTATTCTTAGGTGACTCTCGATTTAAAGAGTAGCGTGTCAATTCACACCGATACCCTTAAAAGCTTGGTATGATCCAAGAATGCATGACGTATAAATTTTTCTTTTTAAAAACTTATTATTTTGATTGTGAACCTTATATTAAGTGATCATGAATAAAGGATTTTTTTTGGAATTGAGCTTGTTTTAAGCTTAAAAACGGCGCTATCATCAATTAAAGCGTACCGCTGTGAATCGGACCACAATGGCACTCTTTCTTCTTCAGAAAAAAGATTCTTGCCTGGGGATCTGCCTGGGTGTGGGGGGGAGGGAGGTGATGCATGTTGGAAGGGGGTAGGTGGGGTATATTTAAACCCAAGTACACGGTGAAAGTTTAGTTGCAAGATGAATAGATATCAAACAAGAAGATTATTTGATACTGATACGAGATAGAAGAAGGCAAAAATTAGTTAAGAAGAGGGGTAGGGCGGGTGATGGTAAGACGGGGTTCCGAAGTGGTAAGAATAAAATACAAAAAAAGTTGGTAAGAAAGGATGAAAAATAAGGAAAGGATGAAACACTATAAAAAAGAAGAAGAATGGGGGGACAAGATGGAAATACAATGAAACACATATTACAATTACGTGAAGTGAGAAAATACATATTTTTCAAGGGGATTGGTGCATCGGCCAACTGGTTAAATTATGAGTATTTTAATAAACCTGGCCTGGATGAATCCCCCCCCCCTCCTCCCCCCGTATGTGCAGAACTGAGAATGTGAATGAACCAGTATTTACGACTCTACCACCACGACCTTAAGAGATACGTCACAGATACAACCTATCAAGATACAGGGATGCATTCTACCCTGATACAGATATCCAGGGGTAACCATCATCTGATACAGAGATACAAGGATACAATATAACCTGATACAGGGATTCAGGGGTTTAATCTACCCTGATACAGGGATGTAATCTACCCTGATACAGAGATACAGGGGTGTAATCTCACCTGATACAAAGATGCAGTGGTGTAATCTACCCTGATACAGAGATACAGGTGTTTAATCTCACCTGATACGATGCAGTGGTGTAATCTAACCTGATACAGAGACACAGAGGTGTGATCTATCCTGATACAGAGATAAAGGGATGTAATCTAACCTTATACAGAGATAAAGGGGTGTAATATACCCTGATACAGATACAAGGATATAATTTATTCGGATACAGAGATATAGGGGTGTCATCAAAATTGATACATTGATATAAAGGTGTAATCTTAAGTAATACAGAGATAAAGGGGATCTCCCCTAAAACAGAGATACCAAATGGTTGAATCTACCCTGATACAAAGTTGTATTAAAAATTGAAAATAACAGAGAAACATGAGCGAAATTCACCTTGATACAGAGAAATGGACAAAATATAAATTAATACAGAAATGGATATATCATCTATTAAGTATCTAGGGGTGCAAAAAGCACCCTGCCTCAACGTTTTAATATGAAAAGGTTATAAGAAGAGACCACCAGTATAACCTACTATCTCATACACGTTAAGAATAGAAAAATGACACCAATAAAAACTAATGGAATCTGTCAGCTGAAATCATTATAGATGGAGCTAGCATTAGAGCAGAACCTTTCTGCCGTGCTATACCCTTTTTATGTACACCATTTTAATAAAAGTACATTTCTCGTACACGTACTACAGAGTAAAAAGCTAAAATTACATACATGATAAAAAAGATTTAAATAGCTAGGGCTCAGATAACTGGTTTGTTTAAAGATAAGATCAAACGAACTTGGACTGTTAAGAAACATTCTTGCGCGCATGGAGTACACTGCATAATGCTAAGTTGGCATGGACTCTGTAACCAATTTGTTAATCTCGCAATACATTTATATGTGTACTTAGTACATATGGTTTTACACTATTAGTACACATGGTTTTACACTAAGTACATTGTTCATAATGTAATAACTGCTACACACAACAGTTTGAGAAACATACGGGAAAAATCTGAATTTTTCAATACTGAGTGAAAAATAATGGTTTTGTGTCAGCTGATGTCTAAGTATAAGTTATAAAATCATTTTTTTTAAACTTACGGGTAAAATTCTGGAATATATTATATATTATATATATATATATGTATGACCCTTCTCTAAAATCATAAAAGAGAAACTTTTCCAAATATTTTTTGCAACCTAGCTTAAAGAAAAAGATCTAAATCTGCTAACAAAGAAGTTTTGCATCCTACATCATGTGTTCTCATAAACATGGTCGTAAGCCCTGTCATTCTCCGTAAGCAAGTTTGAGTGTGTAAGGGTGTAAGTGAGCCAGTGTGAGTTAGAGTGAGTTTGAGAAAGTGAGTTTAAGAGAGTGAGTTTAAGAGAGTGAGTTTAAGAGAGTGAGTTTAAGAGAGTGAGTTTGAGAGAGTGAGTTTGAGAGAGTGAGTTTGAGAGAGTGAGTTTAAGAGAGTGAGTTTGAGCAAGTGAGTTTGAGCAAGAGAGTGAGTTTAAGAGAGTGAGTTTAAGAGAGTGAGTTTGAGAGAGTGAGTTTAAGAGAGTGAGTTTGAGCAAGTGAGTTTGAGCGAGTTTGAGTGAGTGAGCTTGAGTGAGTGAGTGTATTTGAACGCGAGTGAGCTAGTAAAAAGGTTAGATAAGATAGTGAGGGAACGAGTGAGTGAATGGGTATAAATAGTTGAACATTAATGTCTAGATGTACCCAGTGTATAATGAGTTTATGCATAGTACCGTGGAGTATTTATTTCACCGGATGTTTGATAAGGAGTCAAAAACCCTGATACAGCCAACTAATCAGAAATATACGAATGAATTAATGATTAGGATCCATTTCATTTTTAACGTATCTGGATTCCAGATCAAGTCCTTAGAAAATGGATCCGGATTAAGTCTGTAAAAAATTGGATCTGGATCCGGCGCAAGAGTTTTTTATTAGTTGAACTAATCTAATGTTTTCTTATATTTTCCCTTTTTCAAAATTTACATTTTAATTAGTTTAGTTTAATCGAGACCAAATCCATTTTCGAGGTTTTGGTTAATATTTTGGACTTAGACCCGGATCCGTGGGCATGAACATATTGAGGATTTAATTGATCCGGATCCGTGGGCATGAACATGTTGAGGATTTAATTGATCCGGATCCGTGGGCATGAACATGTTGAGGATTTAATTGACCCGGATCCGTGGGCATGAACATGTTGAGGATTCAATTGATCCGGATCCTGAGCAGCTAATTAACTTTTATAATTTTATAGCAGCTTTTGCGGGATTTTACGCTTCTTAATTGTATCTAGGGAAGAAACTATCAAAGGAATTTGAACGAAACAAATAACTTTCTTTTAAAAAAGATGGATTTTTTAATGATTTTTTTTTGGATTGAAGGGTGACTGTAATATTAGTATAGTTATTAATTACCCCTGCAGGCATTTGACTTTATGTCAAAGTACGTTGTATAAATATCATTATCATGACTATGATAACGAATACATTTGTTTTTCTATACACCACTTTATGGCAGAAATTATTTACTTTGAAAATTTATTAAGCATATTTTAAAAAGGGTGCGTCATAACTTGTGTGTGTGTAACCCGTTGGAATTTTTATGCGTTAAGCCCAGTAATACAAGTCAGTGAGATTGGTTAGAGGGAAGGGGGGTGGTGAGGGGGAAGGAGGCAAGTTAGAAGATAAGGGTGGTATCCCAACTTGGGCTATAAAGTGACTCAGAGCTGAGCCTGGTTCTATGCGTATTCATGCCTTTAAACTTGTATTTAAATGTCAGGAATCTAATATAAGCCCTGCACGGTTCTTCTTTTATTCAGACTCTGTCCGGATTGTCTGTTCTTGCCTCGAACGGCTCGTTGAATCGGGCGCCAGGTCTGTCTGGTTTTTAAATATTGTTTTTGGTGATTTAAAGGACTGTACAAGTGGCATGTTCAGCTTCAAAAGTTCATTCAATGTTTCTGTAGCGTCAATCCGCAAGTAGAGAAACCACAATCAGAGAGAAAAACATGGATAACTTTATAATTTTTTACCAAAATAAACTTTTCAGGGCAATGTTGTGAATAGAAAAAATATCCGTTAATAACCATTTTGATTAAAGCCACACAGCCCTCTAAATAAGTCGGCACAGAATTTGAATTTAATTAAGGATGTTTTTTATCTGATATATTTGAGATTATCTGTTTGTAAAGATAAATTTCAGGTTCCAATTAGACAATCCATATAAGTAGACTTAAAAAAACACAAAATAAATCAGGCATCACTGGATGCTTATTATCCACTTTGCAGATAGGTTATTTTCAAGAATTCTTTTGATTTTATATTTGTTTAGAAATTGGCTGTCTTGGCTCGGCTACACGTGTAAAGGATAAAGTTTACTTTATGCATATTTGACATGTAAATATATCATTTATTTGACGCCATATTTTTCTTAACGTCACTTATTTAAATTTATAAACTGGAAAATTAAAATAAAAGAAAAATAGGAGGTACGGTCAAAGAAACTGGACAATCTTTGCAACACCTGATATTTCATACTTGTGCTAATAGATCTGGCAGAGTTCTTAGTCTATAACGTAAAGGTGTGTACAACATCAGGTTGCAAAAATTGTTATTTATTATAAATTGTAAAATTGTATGTTTTTATGAAAATCGCCGTTGATTTTATTTTGATCAATGTTTTATTTTTGATTAGATTAAAACTGGATGGAGTTACCACAATATAGTGTGAGAGAGGGATATTGTAGTTTGGTGGTAAAATTTATTAAAAACATCATATTAAAGAACTCACAAATCAACTGCACAGTATTGCGTTGTAACTAGGTATATACAATACATGTTGAATACACATTACAACCGAATGAACGATCAAAAAACAGGACAAAGTGCTTAGTTTTGATGACACATGGTAACCAGAAAACAGTGAACAAATATCGTCTTTTTTCCTTCTATTAAAATGTAAGTATTACAGATTTTTATTAACCATTTTTAAGAGACATTAATAAAAAAAGTAATCAGCAATAGCAATCATTCCACTGTATTCTGGTTACCATCGCTTACACAATAGACTTACTTTTGAACTCCTTGCTGGCTCCCATGAGAAGTTGATAGAAGATATGGAAGGATCTCTCCTCAGAGGTCTGACGAATAATACGAGCCTTCTCCAGCAAATACGTTTCTATAACAAACACATTATATCAATATTAATGTTTCTTCTTCTATTTTTACTTATTTCTATGCTAAAACTAGATGAACCATTCAGAATTCAAAAAATTTCTCGTGTTTTTATCAGTTCAGATTTGGGGTTTGAGAGCAAACAGCTTTTTACAACAATTTTTGGTTGATGTTTAGCCATTTGGATCCGGATCCAGGATCCTATATAAAATCCTAAGCACGGTACTGGTATAAAAGAATATAAATCATATCTCAAAAGTTGCATTGAACCAAGGTTGTAATGCAAGGAAAGTTAATTGCTGTCGCGTATACTCTGCTTTGATATTGAAACCAGTTCTCTCTGGGCGGAATTTGTAAACAAGAATAGATGCATCAGTGTTCGTTTAGTATCCGAGGGGGTTAAAAGCATTAAATTTTGATAATTTTAATAATTCACATAATAGTTTCCTAAGACCAGAATATTTCATTGATTTTTTTAATGTGAAAGGTGGATCCCATGTCAGGCTTCGACATCTGTCTTGTGTTTACATTACCGCCCAGAGACAGTACACTGCAGTACAAAAGATGCGTACACTTCTGAAATAACTTTCCTTGCATTACATCCTTGCATTGAACTATGTTGGCGTACTCGATCCACAACGGAAGCCACAATGAGAAATTATCAATCTTTAGATAGAAAAGCTACTTTAACGTTGTTTAATGCTTTAGGGTACGGTTGTGAATCAGACAGGTCCTTAAAATAGATTTTCTTATAATTATGTCTAAAATTCTCTTTCAGTTCGCATACGGGAAGCATTTAGTTATATTGCATTTATGAAAAACAGATTTCTTTATAAAGCTCTTATAAGGGCACAGAGCACTCTGAATTACTGTTAATAGGCCGGCAATGCCCTTCCCCCTTTTTTCGTCTTAGCACCCTGATGACAGCTCTATTTTAAATAAAAAGCCCTTAAATCGTTAATGTTGAATTCCTTTCATTTATTGATTTATTTCCCGCAATAAATACGATTGGAATGTTTTGTACCAACACAAGATGGAGAGGGAGGTCCGCCAATAAAGAAGAAAAGAATTATCGATTTAATTTTTATCTTAAAATTAGAAGAATTAACCCCCACTACCGAGGGAGAGTGGACATGATTTTTGAAGATTTGTGGAGGGAAAAATTGGACATCAAACGACGAACATTTTCCTCCTTTAATTTTTTTAATTAATTTATTTATAAGGACTATCTGTTTATATTTTGAAAAATGGAACTTTTTCAAAGAGAGTCTCTAAATATCTAATTCTTAACTCGACCTACAATTTTGTAAAATAACACCTTATAAAACATGATTTTCAAGAACCTCTCTCGAAAGAATTGACTACTGTTAAAAACTCTCAATGAATGTTTACAAGGCCTGCAGTTCACTTGAGGCATTTGCTAATGTTGCAATTTATAGGACATGGTTACTCATATTACAAGATTCAATACCAAACCCTTTCAACCCACTAACATTCAATTCAATAAAAATATGTTCAGTTCTATGGAAAAAAGAGACTGTACACGTGATTTGAAGTGACTTTTCTTTCATTCAAGGGACTTCAAGACATAATTTCAAGTTACCCTATACACCTTTGTTTCTTCAAGGATGAAACAAAGCAGATTTTAGTATTTTTCTAACAAAACAACTTTATATAATAGGATAAAATCAAGTAGGTTTGGTTCAACATATTTTCTAGGATGGGGTTATGAAGTTAGAGCCAAGAAGAGAGACCATCGAACAAGATTGGTTTGGTACAACATATTTTCTAGGATGGGGTTATGAGAGCCAAGAAGAGAGACCATCGAACAAGATAGGTTTGGTACAACATATTTTCTAGGATGGGGTTATGAAGTTAGAGCTAAGAAGAGAGACCATCGAACAAGATTGGTTTGGATAAGAGGATTCTCAATTAACCATATACGGTGAGCTCCTTGTACGGATGAGACCTTTTCGGGCGAATGGTCAGAAACAAGGAAAATACATAAGGAACTATTTTGGTTGACAAAAAGATGTGTACAGCAGTTTCTTGGGAGGAATATAAATAAACACAATGCTATTCTGACTGGGGTTTGTTTAGATTTCTTCCTGAAACTCCAGTACCTATTCATTTTATTAAAAATATGGAGATCCTGGCACATTTCCTGGTCAATAGAAAGGAAGATACATCAGATACTTTCATATCTTAGTTGACGAAAAATGTACAGCAGTTACTTGAATTCTTTATAGCTCAGACTAAGTTTGTTTATAATTCTCTCAGTAACTGGGGTTCCAATCCTTGCAACCAAACATATCGTATTAGTAGGTCCGTATCTTAGTTGACAAAAAGTTTACTGCAATATTTTGGAAGTATGTAAACAAATAGGGCTGTTCAGGCTAAATTTTGATTATATTCCCTACCCAATACTAACTATATAGGGGTTTCTGTTATATCTTTCTTGGTTATCATTATCAATTAAAATATTTTCAAAAATTCGATTTTTATTTCAAAATCTCTGTCAAGGGGTTGTTTCAAATGGTCTTACCAATATTGGCTCCAGCGATGTATCCACTGGCATCAAAATTGATCCGGATGAATTTCCCAAATCTGGAACTGTTGTCATTCTTCACAGTTTTGGCGTTTCCGAAAGCTTCGAGAATTGGATTAGCTTTCAGAAGTTGCTGCTCTAATTCACCCTAATAAATAACAAAATATAGAAAATTTAAACAAAAATCTTTAAAAAACAGTAAAACAAAAAACGCATTTAAAAACAGATCAATATGTAAAATCTGCAAAAAGAAGTTGAAAAGCCATGCGATTACTTAATCGTGCAAAAAGAGTTCGTGGAACCCATGCTTAAGGTTCCACGTATATTCAGGGTAAGGTAGACTCAAACCTCACGAAAAGGATATAAAATTTAAATGTCTGAAACCAGAATTGTTCAGTAAATTAAGGATAAGCGCCCCGAGTTCCGAGCCATGTTAATTAAATTGAGTCCAATGATACTGCAGTATCTCTCTCTAACTCGCTTTAATAAAAAATCAGATTTGAAATTTTGGAACCAAAGATAGTTTGTGTGAATGAGGGGGGGGGGGAGTTAAGATGGCGCGAGCGCTTTATGAAGACGAGGGCGCGCGGAGGGATTAGATTTAGAAAAGAGATAGGAGAACCGGAACCTACACGCTCATATTCCCCCCCCCACACTCTTCATTCAACATCATTTCCCCCACCCCTTCTCCTGACTACTCACCCTCTCAAACATGGGGGGAGGGGGGATAACGTGACTTTAACTTTCAATTTAAAAAAAGAATAATTTCCCTCTCAAATTCATTTCATTTTGTGCACTCATTTGGTAACATGTCCTCATTTATACCCTTGCAAGTTGTTTTCAATGCTTTCTCTCTTTTTAAGCAACACCTTTTTTTATCTAATATCCTTATATTTTAACACCACATTCGTACTTTGCTCTTTTCTAAATTACCTAAAATAAACTATGTTCCATTTAAAAATTTATGATGAGGTTGTGAAGGGGTAGATGGTATGGGCATGATATGCATGTTAATGCATGATGAAATGTCTGAGCAACGAGCATGTCTGACAGTTGTACATGCACGTCTTTAAATATCTGTCTATGGTATGCCCGTCTCAGTAAATAACTGCCTCTCTGTAAATAACTGCCCCTCTCAGTAAATAACTGCCTCTCTGTAAATAACTGCCCCTCTCAATAAAAACTGCCCCTCTCTGAAAATAACTGTCCCTGCCCATCTCAGTTAATATCTGCCCCCCTCTCAGTAACCAGCTGCGCCTATCGGTAAATAACTGCCCCTCTCTGTAAACAACTGCCCTTCTCAGTAAACAGCTGCCCCTCTCAGCTATCAACTGCCCCTCTCTGTAAATAACTGCCCTTATCATTAAAACCTGCCCTCATTCTGTAAATAACTTGCCCCTCTCAAATAACTGCCCCTCTATATAAATATGTTCCCCCATTCTGTACATAAGGCCGAAATACCTTTTATTTAATCTTTTCTTTTTCTACTTTTGGTCGTTAAAAATTTTTTTTTTTCATGAAGCGCATGCAAAAATTAATTTAGAGTAAAATATCGATTTTGAAAGTGCAACATGTAATATCTGTAAGTACAAAAAGTGCAAGTCAAGCTTTTTCATGAACAATAAGAAGACTTAAAATTCGTGTGCACGTAAAGAATTAATTGCCTGGGCCTTCATGCATAAATCAAGCAAACCCCATCAAGGCACAAACAAAGATGACACAAAAATGTGTGCAGTTACAAATTCGTGCAAGTAAATAGCTAAGAACTAAAAAAACGGAAACGAAAACGCGCCAAAATTTTGGCGGTTCCCCCTTTGCCATCCGCTTTTCATGGTTTTTAAATACTTTTGGTTTAAATCATGGTTCATACCCCTCCAACCACCCCCTCTACTCCCTCACCCAGAAATCCTGTGTTTAAATCATACAGCGACCTTGCACTATGTATCTTAACCCCTCCCCTTCCTACTCATTCGCTTCTTGTCGATCTGTATAAAGGGAGGGGGGGAGGAGGTAGAAAAGCTTTGAAATTCCTATTAAAATTAATACTTCCAGTGGTATTTATTATCTTAAAAACTAAATTTTCCCTCAACAAACTAAATTTTTCCCAAGTAGAAATTATCAATACAAAAGAGGAAATAATTTGCCAGTTAATACAAAAACTTCAGAAAATCATTTTCCCAAGGCCCTCAAGAGGGAGTGGGAAATTTCTTGAAAATATATACCCCTGTCTGTGCATTAATATACTGGCAGCCCAATCACTAATTACAGGGGACTGGGAGGGGGGTAATTGAAAACGATAGATAGATAAATCAACTCATTAAATATTGACAGGATATATAGATAAATATGTTAGATTCTTAAGTAAATATTTATTCCCAAATACACATGTAGGATACACAAAAATAGATGAAATAGTTAAAACATGTTAACTTTAGTTTTACAAATAAATTGTTTAATTTATCCAACATTGCATGTTTTGACGTTATTGAGCTGACATCTTTAAACGTTTTCGACTAAATTATGCATTCTAGCGTGTAAATGGTGTAGTGAGTAATTAACTGCACACTGGTTGCATGTCCACTGTTAATTTTGATAAATGCTGTATTTAAGAATAGAAAGTAACAACGCCCATGTATGTATTTGGTAGAAATATTTTTGCATCAAATTATCACCGAAAAATTCTTCCGATTTTTGTTTAAACATCCTGCGGGCGGTTTCAAATTGTGAAATAATGATACGTTTGGAAGCTCTGTTATCTGTCATTGCAACACTCCTGTCTGAGGGGTTGTTGATACCCCTCTGCCCGTCTCAGTAAATAACTGCCTCTCTGTAAATAACTGCCCCTCTCAGTAAATAACTGCCTCTCTGTAAATAACTGCCCCTCTCAATAAAAACTCCCCGGTAATCTTCTGAATTTACAACTCTGTTGTAATCAAGGAAATGATGAATATTTGATGTCTATGTCGTATCCAGATAAGAGAGTAATGCGTCGTATTCTTTACATCAATGGTTTACGAATGAAAACCCAAGGAAAGAAATTAGCCGCTAAAAATCAAGTTTGTTAGTGTAAACTAAACGTAGTGTTTCGCGCGCCGCGTTAGATCGTCTCAAACTCTAACCTCATAACTCCACCAATCCGACTTAATCTAACCAAACCCTTTGAAACTCTTTAGGATGCCTTTATATACAAATATTAACTACTTGGGTTTCCATTTTTACTTGCGGATTTTTGCTACAGAAACAATGGAGGAAATTGTGAATTGAACACTTTTCTATGGACAGAAACCTATTGATTTGTTAAAGCTTTACGCATCAGTTTTGGTTTTAAGTCTGGATACAATATTTTGTGTGTTCAAGAAAGTATACACAGTATACACAATGCACATGCTTAAAAATATATCAGATTGGGGCAAAAGATCGTTAAAAACTTGTTCCCCTCATTCCTAATGGTTCAAGTTTGACGAACAAGGATTTGAAATGGTCTTTAAACCATTAACTTTTAACTTGAATCAAGAAAATTTTAGTTTTGTGGCAGGGAGGGAAAATCAGTTGAACAAGGATAAAAATAAAAGAGGACATGGACAGTAGTGGAAGGACAGAAACGAGTAATGAACAACAAGAACAAGAGTTAAGGGACGAATACAACCGGTGAAAGAAAAAACGAATGTTGAAAGGACAAGAAAGAAGTGGTACCGAACAACAAGAAAAGTGAAAAGACAAATACAACCAGTGAAAGAAAAAAACGAGTGTTGAAAGGACAAGAAAAATAGGTAACAAACAAAGAGTGAAAGGACAAGCACGAACAGTGAAAAGGCAAATACAAGATAGTGAAAGGACATGAAAAATGGGAAGGAAAGTACAAAAACTTAGAGACTAAGTATTTAAGGACAAGAACATTGTGACAGGACAAACACAATGTTCAGAACGAGAAAGTAGTAAGGTACAAGAACAGTGTTAAAGAATGGAATGACGAAAGCCGTTGGAACCGCTTCAAAAAGCGTTTTTATTAAATAAAAGCAATGTCACTAAAGTAAATGTTTAATGTTTATAAAACCGCAAAGTATGGTTAGAAGAATACCATAATACCAGGGGTATCAACCAGATTTAAAACCAATAGATAACCAATATTTAGGCGTCAACATTCAATCTAAAAAGATGAGCTAAGTGTTGTGCTAACTGTGTCATTTAAAATATTTTATAGAGTTAAAGTGAACCAAGTTTTCTTCGCCAATTTGTGGTAAAAAATGTTTAATTCATGATATAAAACTTCTGATTTCTGACATAAAACTCCTTGGTGCGCGTGTCATAGATATGAAGTGAAACATCAACTGCCTGGTATGGACATGAGCTTCCTAACTTAGATTTGAACTGCATAGACGTGAACTGCATAGAAAAGACTGTCTATTATAGACATAACCTGTCTATTAGACATGAACTGCCTAGTATGGATATGAACTGCCTGGTACAGAGTTGAAATGTCTAGTATGAACATGAACTGCCTAGTATAGACATCAACTCCCTATAGTATTGACATAAAGTGTCTAGTATAGACATGAACTGCCTAGTATAGACATGAACTGCCTAGTACAGACATGAACTCCCTAGTATAGACATGAACTGCATGGTATAGACATGAACTCCCTGGTATAGACATGGCATGGCATATGCATGAACTGCCTGGTATGGACATGAACTGCCTGGTATAAAAATGAACTGCCTAGTATAGACATCAACTGCCTGGTATAGACATCAACTGCCTGGTATAGACATAAAGTGCCTAGTATAAACATGAACTGCCTAGTATAGACATGAACTGCCAAGTATAGATATGAACTCCCTAGTATAGACATGAACTGCATGGTACAGACATGAAATCCCTGGTATAGACATGGCATGGCATATACATGAACTGCCTGGTATAGACATGAACTGCTTGATATAGACATGAACTGCCTAGTATAGACATGAACTGCAAAGTATAGACATGAACTGCCTGGTATAGACATGAACTACCTGGTATAGACATAAAGTGCCTAGTATTAACATGAACTGCCTAGTAGAGACATTAACTGCCAAGTATAGACATGAACTGCCTAGTATAGACATGAACTGCCAAGTATAGACATGAACTCCATAGTATAGACATGAACTGTCTAGTATAGACATGAAATGCCAAGTATAGACATGAACTGCCTGGTACAGACATGAACTGCATGGTATAGACATGAAATCCCTAGTATAGACATGAACTGCCTGGTATGGACATGAACTACCAAGTATAGACATGAACTGCCAAGTATAGACATGAACTGCTTTAAAGATCCCTGGATTCAATTTCTCTCAATAAGTCGTCTACTTCATCATAATATTCTGGGTTTCTGCTGGGACTTGAAATCCTTTAAAGGTTCCAATCTGCAGGATCTCAGGGTCCCTGCCTTGTTACAATGCATATTCAGGCCGACCTACAATCAGACCTGAACACGACACAGACCCGCCACCTTTTTTAACCCTCGGCTTCAATGCAGCAGAGTTGAACAATTTTGTCCATTTTTAAAACAAACATGAATTCCTTAAAGATAACAGGATATGTTTGAACAGTGATAACACCGACAAAATAAATTCAGGGTTGTCGTTTTATTTAAAAGATATTTCTCAGTGTAACATAAAAAAATGTAAATTATTAATAAAAAATATTTAAAATAAATAATCCATAAACTTTGACTTAATGTGGCATTCGAGACATGACAGGAAATTGATGTAGAGATTGCCTGGTACTCCCCCCCTCTCTCCCCCATTTTTCAAACCAAGGTCATATACCTATACCTCTACTAGGCTTTAAAGCCGAGATTCCTCTTCTATACAGGGTGTCAGGGTATTAAAGCCTCAAGATATGATTATGTTGTTGGTTGCATGCCTCATATAAATTCTTCAACATTATGTAAATTATAATCAGAATTTTATCAAATCGGTTGAAAAAGACGCTTCCTAAAATCCGTCCCTCATCCACCAGGAACCATTGGATAAGAGTAGATTGGTTTTTAGGGTTTGCCAGTTCCAAGGGTCGAACCATTGAACCCCCCCCCCATCCCTAAAAATTTCAAACATGATTTTAAATACTATGGTTTGGAAAAAACATTTGCACCTGGAACTGTTTTCCGATAATTACACTTTTAATAGTTAGTCTTGCATTTGGATTTATTTATATATTTGAAAAATGTTGAAATTACTGGTTTATGGCCACCATTTCTCGTCTGTCCAAATTCTAGCAGGGAATGACCACTAAAATTGCCCAGTGCTCAAAACCGGTCATTTTTTGCAGTTCTAAGTTTTATGGATTATAATATGCCTAGGTCTTATTTATACTACGTGGGGGAATTACAGGGAACCTCCCTATAATCAGAATTGGCGGGAAGGGGATTTGTTACGCGAATTAACTGCGTCATTGGAATTCAGAACATGGTAAGGGGGGATGTCAGTCGATAAAATGAGAAAATGACCAAAGTAAAGATTTTCCGTATTTTGCCGGGGGCCGGCTTAGTGAAGATAGATTACATTGGCTTAGATCGACATGAAAATTGAAGAGAGGGATTTTGAGAATGTCCCCACCCCCCAGCCCCCAAAAGATATCCATTCTTTGACCCTATCTTCGTCTTGGTCAGAATTCAACGATTAAAAGTTTTGATTGCCCTTCCCTAGTCTCTACTCCATAATAGCGTGCATTAAAGAGTTCTTGGTTGAATACTAATGCAAAGACAGTTGAAGCATAATAGTACTGGACAGGTAGATAATTAGTTTTCAAGGATTGAATTACCATCCTCCAGTGCAGAGAGTAAACTGTACAAACAAATCTAGTATTGTTAAACAACTGCTTTGTACAATGTACGTGCACACGATGTACATGTACGCTGGATTTTTTATGTACACATGTGCAATTGAGATATCAATAAATTCAAGTTTAAAACTTTTTTGTATATATTTTTCTATTAAGGCGCGGAGTTTCTTGAATTTTGTCTAATCCGGGTTTTCATCATTCCAGTTTATCAATGAAATCTGTATATAATTATATTTGCCAGATTCTCAAAACTTGAATTTTAAATATTATCTAAATTATCGGCATTAAACTGTCTGCCCCCAGGAATTGATACAACGTCGGCCATTTTTAAATTCGGTTTGGTTTGGCGAAAGATGGGAAGGAAAGGTTGGAGTGGGGTTGGGGAATTATAATTTCACACCTTTTAAGCCTACTGCAAAAAGTACACGCCCTTCTTTCAGGCCTCGGGGCGGGGCAAAACGTTGCAAGTCCATCAAACCTAATTCAATTAGGTCTGTTTTTAGCTCCAAGGGTGGGTTATTAGTTCGGCAAAATTTATAAATATGAACTTTATTTCAACATTTACAAGGGATATCGTTACTTAAATTCTGAACTTTTATGATTTTAAGAATAGATATATGCATTTGAATATCTACAAATTAAGAAAAAAGTTTTTGCAAACTCAGAAGGCTCATGGAAACAAAGTCTAAGCATATCGTAAATCTGACAACAAAAGGCATTTTTCGATTAGTACAATTTCCAAAATGGCTATCTTTCCCTTACGTCAATTTAGAATAGAAGTGTTAGGATTGCTGAGAGCCACAATTGAAAAACACTCTTCAAAAGGAAATTTTATTTATAATCATACAAACCTTTCAGGGTATTGTTGTAAATAGGACATGCCACTTTGTTTTTAAAAGAGGGCCAATTGAAACTATCTTTATAAGGTTTAAAGCATATTTAGTGGGTTCATGGAGATTTTTTTAAATTGCGGATATTTAACCATCACCGTACATTTTTATTCATGCTGTATTTATTAGTTTTTACAGTAATTTTTCAACTTTTTTAAACTTTCATTGTAATGCAAAAAAAAATAGCATTGATGAATTATATTTTAACAATTTTACAGAAGTTTCAATTATAATTTGAAAGCAAGGAAGAATTAGAAAAATATTTTAACCATCACCGTACAATGTACATGCTGAAGTGTTCAAAACACTATAATATGGAGAACATATTTTACAGAGCATTTGGAAACTTCAATAATTCTGCAGATCATTTCAGATTTAATTCAAAAAAGTTCAGATGTTTCTAAATGATTTATGTAAAATATTTCCACCCTATTACTCTGTTTGAAAAGTAAATAAAGTTTGACCGTAGGGCATACATTTGAAAATGTAAAGAAGACACGAAAACTAAGTGAGCAGTGAAGAACCTGTAAAATCATTCTTTAGAAGATTTTTTTTTATCTTGCAACTTCGTAAATTTCAGATCAAAAGCGAAAAGTTAAACAAAATTGAACTAAGAAACCTCCAAAATTACAGTTTTTCAGGTTTTTTCTTCATTTTGATTAATTGGGGGGGGGGAGGGGGGTATTTTCTAAGATACTTACAAAGCTGAGATCCTGACTCTGAAAGGTGAAGATTGATTGATTGATTGAGTGAGTGATTGGTGCGTGTAGAGAATCCAAGCAGTGAACAAGGCAGCAACAAATAAAAAAGAAGAAAAAACAACATTAGTTTAGGAAGTCGAAATCGTTAAGTTAATTTAAAATCAATTTTTTTAATATTTGTAGCAAGAAACCCGGATATGAAACATCGGTTTCTATGAAAACCAATTTTCTATTTTAACACCTTTATCCCCAACCTCTTTAGTATGTTTATCATTGAGGAGGAAGGGGTGATAACATTTAAACCCCTTAAAATATGTCATAACTTGTAGAAATTGGAATAAAAAGTTGAAGATTGTGAATTATATGTAACGTTTACTGTTACTATTCTGATAATATAATGGATAAAAGTTGAAAAAAAAACATTCACAATCGTACAAGCTATATTTCTTAAGATAAAAACTTTTTATTTGCTTTTTACTGGTTCTGACTAAACCACACTGTACTAAATGCAAGTGCGTGTGCAGTAATAGATAGATTATCTTTATCTACTCGTGTTTACTGTGATCTAATTACAATGCAGGATTTAATACTAATTGTTTAGGATTAAAGGATTGAATTGCACATGCATTAAACCCTGCACTAGAAAAAAAACTGCATTTGCTAGATGCACTAAGGACAGGAAGCTAGACAAACTGAGAGCTCTGTTTGTGCTTTACAATCGGAACTTAAATACGATTTTCCGTACTTGATTAGTAATCTAGACTTAAGCTAAGTTTCTTTGTTCAAAATTACCTTCCTATCCTTCCCTTTTCCACACCTTTTAGCAATTGTTTGTAGGAAACTTGAATCACTATTTACTGATCAGGAAACTTATAGATTTTTTCTCACATTTGCTCACACTTAAAAATGTGTTTTAAGCAAAACTTTTTTCTGAGGTTTTGGTTGTCATTTTGTCACTTATTTCAGCGGATCTAAATAACTACAATGTTGGGATCCTAAGCAGTGCTCCTCACCAACCCAATCTACACGTGCTATGGCAATCTATCTATCTCTCCATGGTAAAATATATCTTAACAGACCCATCTATCTCGAAATCTACCTATTTATGCATCCATTTTCCTATCTATCTATCCATCTATCTGTCAACTACTCTCTCTCGTTACTAACTTTCTCCGCGCTTCTTTACATAAAAGGGGTGTGTCAGTTTATATTCATATATCCTTTAATACAGGGTGTGTCAGTTCATATTCATATATCCTTTTTTACAGGGTGCGTTAATTTTTTATTCATACATCTTTCTTCATACAAGATGCGCTAATTTATATTCATATATCTTCATTCAGGGTGTCCGTTACTATCTAAATATCCTTTTTTATTTGTAACTTACCGGGGGAAAACGACACAGCATTTACACCCTGTAGCTCTACATATGTTTATATGATCATGAGCAAGCCTAAGTGTTAAGGTCTGATTAGACCAATGTCGCCGAATAATCAGCTCAAGAAGGGATTGACAAACAATTCTATGAAATTGAAATCTTGACACTAGAATAAGGTTCAAATTTTGACCAAGGTCATTTGAAGAACGTTAATTATTTATTTAAGATTTTTTCTCCCTCCTATGAAGTGCATTTCCCTGACTTAATAAACTCGTCAAAAATATAAATTAGGTGTTTAATGGTCCTTGCAAAAGTAAACGACATTTATATTCCTTGAAATAAATCGCATTCTATCTAATATTTTGCTCAACTGCTGTTTGAAATCGCAGCAGTCGCCAATTTAAAATGCTTGAACAATACAGAGATTGCATTTAAATACAGAGAATCATTTGAAAATGCAAAATATCAACCATTAGCGGTAGTGCCAATAAAACTATGGATTAAGCCATTATATGTATCTACTAATCTAAGGCCTATGCTCTACAAAACTACTTCAATTAATTAGTACAGAAAAAATCTTAATCCACATTTTTGGTGTCGTAACGGCTGAACCAAATTACTGCGCAAAGAAAGTGTTGACGTGAATGAAGAATGCTTACCGCAACTGGGATGAGGCTAGATGACTTGGGTTTAGATGCTGCTACGAAAGCCAGGTATTGGATGACCTTCTTTGTGTTCTCTGTTTTACCAGCTCCAGATTCTCCGGTACACAGGATACTCTGATCCTCACGATCTAAACCAAAATACAAACTTAGAGGCAGTGCTTCGGATCCCGATCCGTTGGATCCGCAACATTTTAGCTTTTTGGATCCGGGTCCGCAAAAATATGTGGATCCACAGATCTGGATCCAAGGGTCAAAATATCAACAACAAAAAAAACTACCAACAAAAATCTTTTGCTCTTAAAACCCAAATCTGAAATGTTGAAAAAATATATATTTCCTTATTTCTGTAAGAGAGGTTCATCAAGTTTTAGCGAAAAAATGAGAGAGAAAAAGAACAATAATTTTTAAATTTGTCTTCTGTTAAAAAATAAGTGAATTAAGAAATGTTCCTAATTCGGATCAGCATCATAATCAAATGGATCCTAAGAATGGATCCTATATAGGATTGTTTACAAATTTGAGAGGACAATCTATTTGGTAAGTGCTATCAAGGATTTACATAAATTCTTATTTACCAGATATAACCAGATATTTTTGTGGATTCAACCCCCTCGTAATCTCTTGTTTATCATTAAGCTTGGGCAAAGAAAGAGAAAAAATGGATAATTCTTTAATAAAACTAACATCAAAATAAAAATGGATAGAAATCAAGAAATCTTTCATAAGCACTTGAAAATTTACTTTTAGTAGGGTCACTTAAAACGACTTTGATAGCTTGCCCGCTATCAACAGTGTTATCAGGATTGTTTAAAATGATTTTAGAAAATAAGAAAAATAAGGTTAGTTTTAGGGAATTCTTTTGGAATGAAATGTAGTTTTTCCATGAAATATCGTTAAAAACGGTTTTGCTTGACTACAATAGTTGAGAGGGGGAGNATTAAAATTTGAATTTATAAATTTATGATCTAAGTCCCATAGTTTATCATATAGTATTGGCGTTTGACCAATTAAAAAAACGAATTAATTTTCATTTAATTTTAAATTGTTAATAATTTAAAAGTGGTACATAAACGTAACCCCATTTATATCATTGTTACAGGAGAACATGAAAACCGGATTTCTAAACTTTGATTGAATCCCTTGAACCAGGACCAGAAGAAGTTTCATGGTTCATATTACACCAACATTCCTCAAATTCCAAGGCACTTGACTTTATCCGGGATTCTTTAATTTAACCAGGACACTTGACTTTATCCGGGAATCTTTACTTTATCCAAGACACTTGACTTTATCTAGGATTCTTTAATTTATCCAGGACACTTGACTTTATCCGGGATTCTTTACTTTATCCAGGACACTTGACCTGATCCGGAATTATCTACTTTATCCAGGACACTTGACATAATCCGGTATTCTTTACTTTATCCAGGACACTTGAATTTATCTAGGATTCTTTACTCTACCTAGGACACTTCGACTTTATCACGGATTCTTAACTGAATTCTTTACTTTATCCAGGACACTTGACTTGATCCGGGATTCTTTACTTTATCCAGGACACTTGACATAATCCGGGAATCTTTACTTTATCCACGACACTTGACTTTTTCCCCATAATTGACTCGACCGATCCTTCAATAAAGCTGACTCAAGGTACACAATTAACCCTCCTCCTCCATTCTGAGAATCAAAAATCATCTTTGCCCCCAAGGATGTTTGTTCTTTTAAGATGAGATCATCACATTTTCATCTATGTGGGCTCAAACATTAGCGCAAATAAAAATGAGAAGAAGATACATAATTTCCATTCTGAAACCTAATACGGGTTGAGTTTAAGTGCAACGTTAGGTAAGCATTATGCATTGAATTTTGTTATTTAATTGTTGACCTTTATGAGTTTTGGAACAAAACTTTTGTTGCATCCCCAGAATGATTAATTACGTGATAAATCCTTGAAATGAATGAATACATCCATGAAATGAGTTTAAAGTAGAATAGTTTGTCTGACTCATTTAATTTTCTAAAAAAAACACCTGTTAAAACTACCTAGCA